TGGCCGCATCGGAGGATGCCCGGGGACCGGGTATAGGGGAACCACCTATGAACTCATGGCCGGTGGGCAGTACGTCACCTCCCGAAGACATTCTTCTATCTCACCGACGCTAAGCGCCAGCCCCACGTAGTCGGGGTCGTCGGAGACCACGGTCCTAGCGGACGGGGCGTCCGGTGTCATCTTGTACATCAGGAGAGCGTGCGCCATCAGTGGCGTCAGCCTACACACATGGTACCCCCCGATGACGCCGATGCCACGGAGGCCGCAGTCCTTCAAGGTCTGTATGGCCTCGAACACGCTAGAATCGACCAGCCTCCGCTTCTCGTCCTCGACTGGCCCGTATTCCCACCGGCGCAGCGTGGCCGGAAAGTAGCACCCAGTGAAGGCAAGAAGAGGGGCGGCCGAGTCATTCTTCAAATAGAACCACTCACCGTGCCACCCCTTGTTGGACGTGCTCAGGGAGATGGGCATGTACTCCGACGCATGGGACTGCCTCAGGCGGATGCTTGCACACCCCATCGGCACCGAGTAGGTGACCTTTGACCTCTTCTCCCTCCTCTGGAACTGGGAGACGGCGAAGAAATACTTCCAGAGCTCGAAGTGGGGCTCGACCCCCAAATAGCCTTCGCACAGCGCCATGAAAGCCACGATGTGTTGAATCCTATTAGGGTTCAGGTGCTGCAGTTCGACGCCATAGTAGTGCAGCAGGCCACGGAAGAATCTGTGCGGGGGCGTGGCAAACCCGCGCTCATGGAAGGCGGCGAATGAGACGATGTAGCCTGGCGGCGGATCTAGGTGGTCCACATCTCCGAGGATACGCCACTCCTGCGTGTCCGTCCTTGCACGAAGGAGGCCTTTGCGGACAAGCCCCTCTAGGCGGGACCGGCGGATGGTGGAGCGGTGCCACGGATCCATCAAGGAGCGGTGATGACAGCATAGGACGCCGGCGGCAGCGACTAGGAAAGGTGAGCGGCCTAACCCTAGCTTTCCTGTAGCAGGCGGCGGCGGCGGCGAGGAAAACACGGGCGGAGAAAGGCGGACGGAAACAAGAGCGAGCGAAGGCGGGAATGCGGTTACACGACAGGGTGAGCAGTGGAACATCCCCGCATTTATGATGAAAGACAGGGCCTGAACCGCCCACATCGGTCTATGGGGAGCGCCACCCCATCAGAGCGCTATTCCACCAAGCCACGCGCACCCGCACGCCATGCTCCCTCGATCTCCACGCCGAGCGACGCTTTGACTGCCAAGCAGGCCATAGCCGCCGCAGGTAAGTGGGACGTGGAGCCTACCAGGGACGCCATGACCCAATAAAAGCCCAAGAGTTCGAAGGCTGGACCATTTTGGGTTCACAGCTGCTCTGGGCACCCCAAGAGCAAGGGGCAGAAAGGGATGGGCCCACTAGCGGCTAATAGCCTAGGGCGCAAGCTCCATGGCCATCTCCGCCTGCGTTCAAGTCTTGATTGGAAAGGGTCCATGGTTTTCGCGAAGAGAGGCAGTGAGCCCTCGGAGCCGGTCGAATAGATCTGAGAACTATATGGACACGCCATCAGGAACATGGAGTCGATCACCAGCTGATCCTAGCCGGAATCCCGCGGAAGGGAAGCCGGGGCCCCACTTGAACTAACCCGTTAGAAACTCGCCGAGCACCATGACTCACCCAACGAGGAAAGCATGGCACGGCTCAACCCCTCCGTCTTCCCGAGAAGACGCGCGAGGGAGTACCACAACAAGACAAAACGGCCCCCCAGACAGACCTCCGTAGCGCGCGGGGGCTCAGGGGCTCGAGTTCGCAAAGAAAGACAGACGGCGTGGCCGCACGAAAACGCTAAAAAGCCTAACGACCCGCAAAGGACCCACGCGACCGCTGCGAATGGAGTCTGACGGCATCGCGCACCCCGGAATGAAGGAATAGTTATCTTTCATTAAAAAAGGCTCGAGGGCTCACATACAAAAGTGCGTGACACAGCCGCCGCCTTTCTTTTTGCTACTATCCTATAGGTCGGCAGAAGGGGGATTCGCGGCCATGCGAACTAGAGCATGCGGCACAACCGCTGCTTCATCACCGCCGTCTTCGGGTTCAGCAAGAAGCGCGGCTATATCGCCAAAAGCCCGAGACGTGGGCTAGGTGGCCTCACGGATGACCTCCTCGGCGGGCACCTCGGCGACGACGGCGTCCGCGGCCACGTTGAAGTCCTCAACGAGCCCGTCATGGTCCGTCGCTCCCTCGCCCTCCGGGAAGCCCACCAGGTGGCGGAGCTTGTGCCCCGACCGGACCTGGGTCGCCGCTAGGGCTACCGGCGCCCCGCGGTGGACGTCGAGCTCCACCACATCCCTGACACGCTCAGGGATGTCGAGGAGGCGCTCCTCCCACCGTTCGCCCGGGGCGCGCACGAAGCCGTCCGCCACGTCCGCGGCCTCCCGGAGCACGTGCAGCTCCGTCTCCAGCTCTGGTCAAGGCGAAACAAAGTAAGCGGGGACTAGTGAAATGGGGTGGAGCAGGCGAGGGGAGGCGAAGTCTATGGGGGAAGACTTACCAGCCACCTAGCCATCGGCGTCCACAAGCTGGGCACAGATGATCTCCACCTCTAGCTCGGCCGCTCGAAGTGCGGCCTGGGTAACCTCGAGGTACCCACGGAGCCGCTTCGATTCCGGCTCGCGCCCAGCCGCTGGCACCCCGGACGACAATGGCGCCGAAGAAGCCGTGGAGGGCTTGCCAAGGACCGGGCACCGCCCACGCCCAGCATGCGATGCCACACCCTGCTCCAGCAGGCGATGCCGAATCGGCCTCTCCTCCCTGGGCTCATCGCCAGCGAAACGCTTGTTGGGCTCCATGGGAAGGGTGAAAGCGAAAGGGTGTGGGCACGGTAGGTAGATTAGCTGAGGCTAGATGGCAAAAGGCAGGGGGGTGTCGTGGTCTATAAAAAGACCGGGGGAAGCCCAACCGGCATTGGATTGAGCCATGGCAGCGGATGCCACCCCTCGCTCTCGTCCAATCACCTCTCCCGCCTCGCGAAATTCCCTAGGGTAGCGCTCCCACTTCCGCCACTCTCACCGGCCCACGCGTCCGCTACATCCCTTCGTCATGTCCCCTAGGAGCGCATGCGCAACCCCGGGCCTATGCTTCGGGAAGTGCACCGAACAACGGAGAGATCCAGGGGGCCGTGGACCATAGCGGGCCTAGGGTTTGCGAGGTCTGGGACCGCCCCGCCGGCCCACAAGAGCTCAGGCACACGCGCCCGTGCCACTAGAAAACCCAGGCCCCGGTGAACGGGACCGCAACCTAGTCTGGGCCGATCCGTTGACGACTCGCTAGGCCCAGCAAAGGCCCAACAAGGAGAGCAACTATATGTCCCAGTCGATGTGCCCCGACGAAGGGTACAAAGGATTGTGACCATGGGATGAACAAAGTCTCCGGGAGGAATCGTTCCCCTGCGCTCAGGGGCCCAGGGGTCGAACCCTATGGCGGAATGCTACATTCCACCAGAGACTCGAGGGGCTACACCCGGCGGGTGCGCTCGTGCGCACCCCTGACTAGACCACGAAAAGACAAAAATCTCTCGAATAAAAGTCTCTGGAGGAACGTCTTCATTCCACCAGAGGCTCAGGGGCTACACCCGGTGGGTGCGCTCGCGCGCACCCACCAGTTAGACCAGGCAAGGGTCAAGGATCCAAAAGGATGAGGACCTCAGATAAAAGCCTACGAAGGAGTGCTGCACTCCATCCTAGGCTCGGGGGCTACTGTCGGATATAAATCACGACTACTGATGACAAGAAGATTAGGCCGCATAGATACTGACTCAGCCGATAATAAAGCAGAGCCGTCCGACCCGTCCCGACCCATGGGACGTGAGCCCTACCTTAGCCGACCCCTTGGGGGAAGTTTCCGTCTTGCCCGACCCCCAGGGAGTGGGCCCACCCTGGCTGGCCCATGGGATGACGAGTCCGACCCAAGGGGCACGGTCCCCTCAACAATCAACCCCACGGTGGAGCACTCCGTCTCGCCCGATCCACGAGGGGCCGCTCCGTTTCGCCCAACCCCTCGGAAGCACGCCTCGTCTCGCGCCGACTCTCCTGTGCGGGTTTTCGCCTGTGACATTATGTAGAAGGGCCCTTGGGCGGAGCAGATAAGGCCAATGCCTCAAATCCCTGCGTCCTTTCTAGCTACCCTATACGGGGACGAACGGGCCGCGAGTGGCTCGCGTCATCCCCAACCACTCTTGGGCAGAACCCGTCAGCCCAGAAGCGACATATCAAGCCTAGGCTCCCACGATGACCTAGGATGTGGCTATAGGAGGGCACTATGCTGCCTAATCTGCGTACGGCGGGCATCCCATCACCCCTGTTGGCCATCTCATCCCCTGTAATGAGATGGAGAGCCTCGCCCCAGTCAGCTGGACCCGTACGGAGCAGCAAGGGCTAGGAGTGGCGCCCGTCGCCATCAGCGACCGTGCTATCCATAGGGATGACCCGGAAGGAAGAGAAGACGAAGCCATCACGATCCCGACACTGTAGAGCTTCTTGGCGTCAGACAACATCATCTCCGGCGAGCTCCCTGACCAGTTCTAGGACTGCCCGGCACTGGCGGCGCTGGACGTGTCGAACAACCTGCTCGCAGGCGCGATACCGTCCAGCCTCGCCTCGTGCCAGAGGCTGGTTCAAGCTGAACCTCAGGCACAACCGGCTCACGGGCGAGATCCCCAAGGCGCTCACCATGATGCCCGCGATGGCCATCCTTGATCTGTCGAGCAACTCCTTGACCGGCGGCATACACGGGAGAATTTTAGGAGCTCACCGCTACTGGAGACGCTCAACCTCTCGTACAACAACCTCATGGGTCGCGTGCGGGAACGGCGCGTCTGCGTTCCATCAACCCCGACGAGCCGGCGGGCAACGCTTGCCGTCTGTGGCGGCGGCGTTGCTCCGCCGTGCTTGAGAGCCGCGACACGGCGTGGCGGCGCAGCGCCTCGCGCGTGTCGCGGTGGGCTGGCTTCGCGGCGATGCTCGCGCGTCGTCGCCGCTTCGCCGCGCCGCCGCGTTCACGGCGTTGGTCGCCGGGCGATACGCGCATCGGGCGGTGGTACGCTGGGGGAATGCTTTGCGACGACGACGAGAGGCTCGGCGCGAGTCGGACGCGTGGCGTGGCGGCCGACGGCGTTCCAGCTGCTCGGGTTCACGAAAGCGCCGACGTGGTGGCGTGCATAAAGGAGGCGAACGTGGTGGGCATGGGCGCGACCGGGGTGGTGTACAGGGCGGAGCTCCTCCGCGCCGTGATAGCTGTGAAGAAGTTGTGGCCGCCGGCGCCGTTTGACGGCGACGACGCGGCGTCGGCGAGCGAGGTGACCTCGGACGTGCTCAAGGAGGTGGCACTCTGGGCGGCTCGCTCACCGGAACATCGTCGGTTGCTGGGTACGCGTGCACAACGACGCGGACGCCATGATGTTGTCACGAAGTTCATGCCCAACGGCACAATGGTGGAGGCGCCGACGGGCAGCCGGAGAAGCGCTGCTTCGCTGGATCGGTGTCCCTACGACGTCGCCGCCGGCGTAAGTCCAACAACATCCTCCTCGACACCGACATGGAGGCCCGCATCGCCGACTTCGGCCTCGCCCGCGCCCTGGCCATCTCCAACGAGTCCGTCTCCGTCGTCGCCGGCTCCTACGGCTACATCGCGCCAGGTTGGTAGAGTATCATCGCCGATCCATCCATGAATCGATCTGAAGCGATTGTTCTGCTTCTGACATGCAATCGGAATGGGAATGTTTGCAGAGTACGGGTACACGCTCAAGGTGGACCAGAAGAGCAACATCTACAGCTACGGCGTGGTGCTGATGGAGCTCATCACGGGGCGGCGCGCGGTGGAGGCGGAGTTCGGCGAGGGGCAGGACATCGTGGGGTGGGTGCGGGACAAGATCCGGAGCAACACGGTGGAGGAGCACCTGGACCCGCACGTCGGCGGCGGTCTTGCGCGCGTCCGGAGAGGAGATGCTTGCTGGTGCTGCGCATCGCCATGCTCTGCACGGCCAGGGCGCCGTGGGACCGGCCGTCCATGCGCGACGTCATCACCATGCTCGGCGAGGCCAAGCCGCGGCGCAAGAGCGGGAGCAGCGGCACCGCCAGCGGCAAGGACAAGGACAGCGCCGCCGCCATCGCCCCTGCCGTGGTGGTGGACAAGGACAGGCCGGTGTTCAGCACCACGCCGGATTCAGGCTACGCCTAGGCGCCATGATAGCTAGGTTGATACAGCTTCTTTTGCCTCGTGTTCAGTGCCTGTCAATGATTTGTTCATGTACCTAGATTTTGCTTTGCTGCAGGATCTTGAGCCTGTATGTAGCCAAATCTTTGCTGTGAAGATTAACTAGCTTATAGATTCTGTAGATTAATGTAAGCAGCTGAATAAGCTTTGAAATTTCCTTACACAAGCACCCCCAAAGAGAGTGAAGAAATCAAATCAAGCCAATCAATTGATCAAAGCTCGTTGTCATCTGTTCTCAAACTGAATACGTCCTACACTTATTATACCTAGGATTCTATCTCTATCCCTAACAGTATAAATAGGGCGTGTTCAGCTGGCTTTAAGCCGGCTGGCTGGCTGACCATCCAACTCACGGAATCACTGTTCACGTCCTGCCAGAACAGTATTTTCCTCTCACAACAATCAGCCGGAACAGTATTTTTCAGTCCTGCCGAACAGGCCCGCTAACAAAGAATTAGTTGGCTGCCCAGACACAGACAACCAGCATTGGGGATGGGGGGCTACCGAAACCTCAACTAATTACACAGCTACCGAAACCAGACGCTGGCCAGAGGCAGTAGGAGAGCGCAGCAGCGAGACTAGCAAATGGTGCCAATCTTCACCTCCGCCGTTGTTGAGCCATCATCTTTGTATGAGCATGCATCCTATCAGCATACATCGGGAGGGAGGCGCGTTATCTCATCAATCTCTTCGAGAAGCTTTTCCTCGGTAATGTTATCTGTGATACTCCCCATCACCTGCAGATCATGCAAATAAAATGTAACAGTACTGCAGTTGTTCGCTTTCCCACCCAAATACGGAGTACTTGTTTAGACATGGGCAAAATATGATGCTCAACAACCCACAAAAAAAAATGATGATCAACCACCCGCAAAGAAAAATGATGCTAAACTACTTACAGAACAAGGCTGTTGAAACTGACTTTGAGAATTGCTGAAGTGAACGTCTTAGAAAGCAGGATCACAAAAGATTATGAAGGCAGAAAATGGAACTCGTAAGGAGAGCTACCCATGCAAACAGAAGTACTATGATCCAATGTGACAGACCTACTGTGTTTTGGAAAATGATTTTGCCCTAACAGCAAAAATATTTCAAATGAGTACATTGAAATTTTCCAGCAAAGATCAAGATGAGATTTACATGCAGCAATATTCTTAAGAAAATAAATTAACGAAGGAAGTAAATCAGAGAATATGACAACTAGCCTTCCGGTATGTATTGATGTCATTTGGAGTCGATTTATCAGATCTAATACGCATACAGGCCCAACACTTCTCTTCCTTGTTCCAGGAACACTCAACAATCCTCCCAGCGACAGAGGATGGATCTACATCGTCTGTATAAGTTTCAAAACAACAATAAATATAAAAACAAATAGGATAGGATATTTTTACAAAAAAAATAAAGCAGACATTTAAAAATATATACTGTTATAAGATAATACTCCTATGAATACTCTCTCCGTTCCAAATTATAAGTCGCTTTGATTTTTTAGTTCATCCATTTTGCTATGTATCTAAACATTATTTATCTAGATGCATAGCAAAATGAATGTACCAAAAAAGTCAAAACGACTTATAGTTTGGAACAGAGGGAGTACATTTTAAATTTGTTAAAAGAATATTACTTCAGCACTTAAAGAGACAAATAAGCTGACTACACAACGAACAAGGTCATCATGATAATTGAAATACAAGTTACCAGTGAATGCTATCCGAGCACCATCCATAAGTTTCTTTTTTCCTCTCTCATAAAGGAAAACCAGTTGACGATTATCATTTGTAAGCTGCATTAGTCAGGCATAACAAAATCACCAATATCAAAAAATTATCTTCACTATGATTGAACCATTTAAACAAATAGTTAAATTTGGTGACCTCAAACAGAAAGTCCACAGAATTCATCTCAGGGTACTTCCATTTTAGAAGACCTTCATGAGTACGAGTTACATATGGATCATCCCAGCCCTGCAAGACCAATTGACGCATATCAGCCAAATAAAACCAAAATGTACTAGTAAATAACCACAGAATACATAGTTACAATGGATGTTCAAGGTCACAGAAGGGACAGCAGTTCCATATCTAGCACCGTTCAAAATTTGGTCCAGGATTCTACACATCCACAACAAAATTTTCTAAGCTATATACAAGTCTTAACAAGTAGGCAACAACTCCATGAGTGAACACGTACACACCGAAAAAACAAAGAACTCAAACTACTTGTAAACAGACACATAACATCTATGCGTGAAAAGTAAAAATGGAAAACAAAGTATCTGTGAATTATCAAGTGACCAGCAAGAAGTGAAGTGTTCAAAAGGCTTTTAGCTTGCTGCAAACACCTCACATGACCCATAAGAACGCCCCCCAACCCACCCACAGAAACAGAAAACTGATCTCAAACAGGAAATGGCCATGGTCATAACTCAGAAATAGAAATGTCTCGTTACAAAGTAAGCCCAACAAAGATGAAAGACACACTAATAACAACTAAGTATGTGTATATTTTACATATCATAGCACCGTGCATTGGAAATACAAACAGCGCTAAGATTAAGCTATTCCCAAAATCATGCAATTTGCCCTGTTGAGTCCCGGTTGTACACAAAAACCAAGTAGACCAGAATCATCACATTTGCTAGTTAGATTGCAGCCAAATAAAGATAGATCAATCTTTATGGAAGAACTTGATAAATGATCCATATAAAGCAAACAACATGCCTTACCATCCTCATATCATAATAAACAAACAGAAAACAAATCTGTACCTGAAATATAAGGCCATCAGCATCATGGCAAAGTGATGGAATAAACTCCTTAAGCAACCTTTTCACTGTGGAGAGCACCCAAAAATCCTTTCTCCTAACCTGGTAATGTCATATAATCAACAAAAAGAAAAAGAAAAGTGGCTTTGCAGGACTCATGAGTTGAACATCATAATTCAGAAGTGCTAGAATCCAATACCGAAAATAATTCCATGTCATATTTGTACAGCGGATTGCTCTTAGCACCACTCTCAAACTGCTTTTTCTCATGATAACGTGGTCTTATTATTTCATCTTCCAGCATTTTCCATCTTTCAGAAAACGGCAACTGCATACACAAATTTCCATAATCTCAAGCCACAATAATCTGTGTTTCTATCACCCTAGAGTTTTTTTCAGCATGTCAACCTACAGTAGAATAGAGCTCACGTACGTAAGTTACAGCAGAAAAAAAAATAATTTACACCCTTGATTACAGCCTATGAATCGTGTGGCAACATGAACTTTGTAGGCCCATCTGCTAATCATATGGAGGAAAAAGGTGAACAAGCAAACATGATTGTGGAGAAGATAAGAGCAAAACATTGATGGTGTGGAGATAGAGGGCGGCCGCCAAGAAATAATTCAGAAAGGATGCTTATTACATCTCTTTTCATTATTACAAGGACACCAAAGTTTCATAGATAAAAGAAGAAATCAGAAATAAGTAAATAACAAAATTTTATATATCAAGGTCATATATCATGCATAAGATCAAGCGCCATAAGATCATATTACCTTGGTTTTGGGCACTGCATCAAGCGCCATAAGATCATATGCCAAGTACCTTCTCTTCAAGCCTGAATCTGGTACCGTGTCTATAATCATCTCCCCATCAATCAAGGTCATATCATGCAGGCCCTTTATAGCAAAGAAATAAGGTTAAAAGTTTTGCATCAAAAGTCATGTTCTATGATTTTACTCCAGCACAATTGGAACCTTACTTCGAGGCTTCTATGGGGAAAGCGCATTTGGACCCTTCTAAAACAAAAATTCCGATCAATTAAGAAACAGCCATATCTCATAATAAGCATCATATATCGTGTTCCATCAGCTTTCCATGTAGCAAAGTAGTATCGCTACCTAAGTAGTTGCAGATTATCACTGAACAAAGTAAAATGAATGCATTAGATAAAAAAGAATATATAACTTAGGAATAAAGAATACCAGAATGCACAAAAATGATGTAAGAGAAATTTGAGTTACTGTTAATGTTACTCGCCTGTTAAGAGAAACTGGATGTGATCCAGGAAATTGTGGACCTCTTCCCTATATACAAATAAAGATTATCAGAGTACCTAAATAAAAAGGCACTATTTGTTTGAGAGCAACACATGCAGAAATTGAGTTACAAAACACAAACCAACTCAAATAGAATGGATAGAAAACATGATAGATCTACACACTGAAACAGTTTAATCACGACCAAATTCTATTAGTTCCCAGCATTTCCAAAATACCATTTCTGAGCCTTAACTTGTAAGATTCCAGACGGACCATGTCGAAAACACATTGTCTTGTAATCTAGTATCAAAGTATTTTGCCAACCAAGTATGCCAAACTGTGTAACATTTTCAGCCCGCATTGCATGACATGAAATATTATGCATCTGCTCAATGCTAACTTTTAACCAATGCTCCCAGAAATGAAATAGTTGCCGAAGAAGGGATTGGTGGTATTAGAACTATATTCTACAAATGGTTATCATAGTCCATGTTATCATTGTAAAGCATATACAACAATACCATTATGAGAGCTGGAAATTAATTACATAATATATTGGGTAGAAGTAGAAATAGCATACTTACAATGGGCATTTCAAGCAACAGATAACATATGTCACACAAAGCTTTTTGCTGGTCATATGGCACGGGGTCCCCTAACACATCGTCATTGGTGATGACTTTATCCTCTGATTCATTCTGCAAACATATTGTGGTGTCGAGATATTAAGAAACAATGCAATCGACACTACTTAGCAAGGAAACCATACAATGAGGTAATATCAAGGACACAAGCAATATTTAAGTCTATCCCTTCAACTTGTGAAGTAGAACTGGTAATTCCATATAAATTTCGAAGAAAACACATACATGCGGTGGTTTAAGATAAGCATTGTCATCATCATCATCATCCTGCTTAGCTTCGCCATTTAAATCAAGATCATCTGGTCTCTTCCATTCTGGTGTTGGAGGGCATGCTATCATCATATTCTCAGGGACCTCATGGTAAAATGAATACAGTGCTTCAATGTAGTCCCTCTTGTATATGCCAGGTGGCCGCCTTTGAGCAAATATATTTATTGCCTAGAAAAAAAAAGTGGTTATGTAATACTGAAGAATAAAATCAATCAAATACATCTGGGGTCTAGTATCCCTACCTCAGCAACACAAGAGATGTGTGTGCGCATAAGGTAATGAATAATCATGAAACCTGTACGATTATGACCATGGGTACAATGAACCAGAATATATTTAGGATTATTTGATTGCTTTTGTCGGTCAAGGCACATCATTGCCTGAAAGAACAGCAAAAGTTGTTGACAAAGATGGTTTACAGGAAGCTTTCTTAAAACATAGCATTATGCTCTACGCAGCTAAAGAAAGGCTGACTGGAGATATGAATGACAGTTGGGACTATCTATACCATTTACACCAAAGCAGAGGCAAAAAGAAATGACCAGATTACTGATAAACAGCGTCCAAATCAATTCATTGTAGAGAATCCAACAATATGAAAATGCAAAAAGATGCAGGCCCCTCTGAAATTAGCAACACGATGAGCATGTAGCAGTCTACCAGAACACAGAAAAGGTGGAAAGTGTAAACATTTTTTTTAGCGTAAAATAAAAGGGTAAGAACTGTACAGGGAAACAAGCACAACAAAAAACCACCCAAGAGGCTGAGAGCCACTTGGCAGCTAGAAAACTAAGAAAAGCAATCTATACAAAGAAGGAAAGAACTGCGTTTGTCCTCAGACATCCTAAGAGCTTCAGTCTAGCCTCGTCTAAGAAGGAGCATTTCCAGGAAAGTGTAAACATCACACACAACCTGATGAGAAAAAACAGGTTTGTGCGATTAAGATATGGGAACAGAATAGCAAGAGATGGAGTGTGTTAGCCGATGACAAGAGGCTCACAACAGAGCCTAAGTGTGATTAAGTGGATGGATATGTTTGTGCTTGATCTCCTTGATCGGCAACTCTATAAATATAGATTTGATCCATTACAACGTATTCAAGCTTACAACCGACCTCACAAACTCTAGTAAACCGAAACCAACAGATCTCCTAACATTAACCTACTTAACCAACAAGCCACCACATAACAATCTCCAATCCAACTATATCTCTAAGATTCCGATAAGCACGCCTTATCCTTGGCGATCTGCTTCATGCACCGCTCAAACTGCCAGACCAGGCAACCAGAATAAGGCCATTAAAAAAGGTAGGTGCAATAAATAAAATAACTTGGAATATAACTATGGTGCCCAGAGGTGAAAGAGAAAACAAAATTCTTTGAGAGTAACGCATCAACACCCTCCCTCCCCCCCCCCCCCCCCCCCCCCCCCCCCCCCCCCACCCCCACACCCCACACACACACACACAAAAAAAAAGGAATAACAAAATGGGTGTATATACTATCCAGAGTCAAATATACTACTTTTGCAGAGATATGTATCCATAGACTGTACCTCATTGACAAACACATTAACAGATTCATTGTCAGGTACAGCATCTCTCCCCTTGCATGGAATCTAATCCAAAAACATGTTAGTCAAGAAAAAAGGACCTTGAGAAACAAGAAAGCATTTAAGCTAAGCAATCTCACCTTGACATGCTTAGTACCTTGAATCGTCCATTCTGCTGGTGAATAATACCGGGTGGTATTTGTCAAATCAATCACCAGACATATCTGAAAGAGAAAAAACAAAAGTCAGACTTGCTACCTGGCTGGAAAGCAGACTTGATCTCTCGAGCTGGGAGAAGAATACTGGTCCAATTTGTACTCACATCAACCTTGGTCTATTTGGCAATGGCCCTGGACCTTCCAGCATGGGCTCTAAAGGCAATAGATAAAATAAGAAGGGGATTTCTCTGGAAGGGACGCAAAGATGTGAAAGGTGGGCATTGTCTTGTGGCATGGCCCAAGGTTTGCCGACCACCAGATCTTGGAGGGCTTGGAATCTCTGATTTGCAAAGGCTGGGATGGGCACTTAGAATGAGATGGCTGTGGCTACAGAAAACTGAGCCCAATAAACCATGGTCGGTCTTTCCTATACAGGTTCATCATTCAGTAAGAGCTCTCTTCTCTACGGCAATCATTTCAGAGGTGGGTGATGGTGCTCGCACATTATTCTGAAAGATAGATGGATCAATGGACAACGAGTGGCTGACCTTGCTCCACAAATTTTTGCCATTGTTAGCAAAAGAAGAGCTAATAAGAGGACTGTCCTGGAAGCCCTTACTAACCATGGTTGGATTGCGGATATCCAAGGAGCTCATACTATGGGAATCATCATTGAATTCTTAGCGCTATGGGATATTCTCTCAGAGGTGGTTCTGCAGCCTGGAGTGGAGGATGCTCATATTTGGCGTCTATCGACATCAGGACAATATTCGGCAAAATCTGCATATGAGGGTTTCTTCATTGGCTCCACTGTATTCAGGCCTCGGGAGCGTATTTGGAAAACTTGGGCCCCAGGAAAATGCCGCTTCTTTATGTGGTTGGTAGCACACAACAAATGTTGGACAGCAGACAGGCTGGCACGCCGAGGTCTCCCACATCCTGCTCGCTGCCCCCACTGTGAACAAGAAGAAGAAACTATCAATCATCTACATGTGTGTTTGCACGCGAATTTTGGTTTGTTTTGCTGCGAAGAGTGGGTCTACAGGCCCTTTCGCCACAAGATGAACCCTCCTTCGATGATTGGTGGGCCAAAGCAGAGTCTAGAATGGATGGTTCACACAAAAAAGGACTCAACTCGCTTATCATCCTTGGTGCATGGACAATTTGGAACCATCGCAACCGGTGTGTTTTCGATGGGACTCCTCCTAGCCTGGCTGGAGCATTGCTGCTCGCAAGTGAGGAACAGCGTTTCTGGAAGCTTGCAAAGGCTCAGGGAAGCTCCTTCCCTTCTCTTGAGCCTGTAGATAGCCAGTAGGATCCTTTTGTGGAGGTGAAGTCGTTTCCTATATTAGTAAAAGGCGCGTGTGTTTGTCTAAGAGCTTAGGAGTGTGAGTATGTGTTGTAAGGGCTCTTGCCCCCTTTTTTTTTCTTCTTAATATAAAGATACGCAGTTCTCCTGCGTGTTCGAGAAAAAAAAAATACAGAATGTATGTTGTCGGCCTAATTAAGCGGCTGTTTTGCCCAATATTTGGCTATAAAAGATGGGTGACCGAGTGTTTAGCGTTTAGGTGAACACTGATGCATACAAATACATATAGGAAATGGCGTAACCAAAAAATTTGATAATTAATGAAATAATATTTTAACTTCTAAGGGGATTCCACAAACCACACCTATTGATGCCATAAGCTTAAGTGACTTGCTATCTATGTGCATATGGAATACGTGCCACTATTTATACAGGGATTTCTGGACAAAGGGGATGATCGTAGAATATCAGGACTAACTTCAAGCCTCAGATTCCATTCACAGGATGGACAGATTGTGGGTGTCTAAGCGAAAGTGGCAGAATGGCATCTCCAACTTTGTAATCAAGCCATTAGATCCCATTGATCATACAGTTCAAACATTGTTCTTAAGGCAGTAAAGCGATCTGCAGTGACCTACCCCTTCTTATCACCTAGGAGCTTAAGGTGAGGCAGTAAAGCAGACGCCATACACAAAAATATAAGATATAAGAGAAGGATAAATAGGAGCACCGATGGGCCACAGCCACAAGCAGTCAGCCCACCAATCAACTAAAGCCATATCCAAGCCTGCCCATTCCCTCCACTGCCCCCTCATATGCCCTAGCTCCCTATGACATCCACTGGACACTGCCTCCCAATCCCTGACACCACCGACAACCCAGAACAAAGATGTGATGAGCCCCGCTGCCCACAAGTACCTACACAGCTCCGTAACCCACACGCCCCTGAATCACCCCTCCCTCCCTAATGGCCTACTTCTATCCAGATGGAGGTCCATCACCGACCCCTTCCAGAGCAGACCGAGAGATTGGCTGGTGATTGGGCTCGAGCCAGCGAGGAGGGAAATGCTGACAGAGAATTTCCTGCCTGCTGGTTCCCTTCATCCTATTTCTTTCTTCTGCACAGTCCCTCCTTCCTTCTCTCCCTCTTTTGGCTTAGCGCCTTCTCACCTAGGCAACAACTAGGCCAACGCCTTAAGAACACTGGTTCAAAATCAATTAGAGAACGTAACAGTGGAGTGTGCACCACAAAGAACAAATTGCCCTGGTTTATGTCAATAAGTATGAGTTCATCCTTTTTACTTCTTTTGTTATTCAGGGGCACTGAAGGTGACGGCAGCACTGGAAAAATTCAGAAGGATCTCAGAGCATGCAAAGATGGTGTATCTGTGCAGGAGAAATACCACTGTAGGACGAAGACAGGGGAATGGAAGGAGGACGTGCTGTGCAGTGTGCACTGCTGGCATGAGAAGACACAAGGGAAGACAAAAAATAATAGAAGGCAGTTGCAAATTGCTCCAAAAAAGGGTTCCTAACATACCTTTGCGGCGCCAGATAACTAAGAACCGCCCTCCTATCTAGCATATATCACCATCTAGCCCACCAAGTGCTCATTAGGAAATACATGCCACATAGCACCTACTTTTTAGAACATTAGGGTTGTACACAAGAAAAGAAACTCATTCCTAGGGGCAGCCTGATTTCAATGAACCAAATTTCTGTATACAACAAATGTTACTACCTTAACATAATGGTTAGTATAATAATAGGAGGGACTACAGTGTGATCTGCAGGAACAAGCAAGCAATACTTACTTCCCAACCAGCTTTTCTTTGTTTGTTAACTAGTTGCTTCGAGGAGTATCGCTTCCCAGGAGGCACCGACTCATTGAATGTTTCATCAAGAGGAACTTTGAAATGTATCAGTTAAAATTGCCCAATACTTGGTACCATGAGGTGTCTCTTTAATGCGACTATGTCTTTTGGGTTGAGGAACATAATCATTCCCAATCTGCTGGGAATGTAGCCTTGAACCATCATCCTGCTGCTCTCTCTTTAGTCTCTTGCGTCTCTCTTCACGCTCCTGTCAAGTATAGCAAGATCACGTAGAAGGTATGGTTAACATCAATAAACCAAGCTTGCAGGCTCAATATGAAAAGGAAACTAAATGAACAGTTCAAAGAGCCACAAGGCCTTTCTGGCACATACATACACAATGCATGCATACATACCAGCATGTATGCAAAATAAAGGCAGTCAAAGTAAATCGCCCGCCAAACAAGAAAAACATATTGAACATCAAAATCATCTTTCTACAACAAATCCAGTGTATAATCCACTATGCTCGTGATGCACAGACAACAAATTGTGTATTGATTGATGAAGACAACGGTGTGCACATAATTAACAGGTTCCCTCCCTTTGTGGAAGCCATTTCTTCAGCTAATAATGTCAACCAAGCAAAAGGTACACGCAGGTACTGAATGACACATATCGGGGGCAATCATTAGTAAGATCCAATAACAATATGTCAAGGGCACGGTACATGGAATGAACATCAACACCAATAAAGATAAGACAGTTGTGTACTCGGCGCATTGTTGCGACAGCAGACTCAACAACAGGTTCCTTGTGAGCATACTCAACCTCAACCTGCTCATTATCATAAGGCTGATGCTCATCATCGTCGGGCAACGGCGATGCGTTCAAATCCATAGAGAAGGTCATTCAACGCCCACCAGCTACTTCATATATTCCGTCAGCAATCAGTTCCGTTGGACTTGCACCTAACAGCAGAAAGAGAGTGTATTGGGATATGGTGTACTCAGAAATTTGTTTGTATGTGGAAAACGAAAGCGTCGGAGATGTCCCAAACCATCAGAAGCAAATAAAAAAATGGCAGGCAGGCATTCAAAGAATTAGTGCTACAACGAGAGCACGTGGTGGGCAACCCACCCTTGCGTGAATGCACGCCGCAAGAATGGAGGCGTTCCAGGAATCATTAGAAGCGAATAGAGAAGAGAAAGAAGCAGCATTCAAGGAATTAGCCGAAACCCAATTCCCCACGCCCGTGCTCTTCCAGAGCCGCTCGGCGTGCCGAGCGAGCGCAACCACCTCTCCCCGGGGGAAAAACACGGCAGGGCGGGACGGTTCGGGACCCTACCCTACCTCGCGCGGCGGGCGGAGGCGCGAATCGAAATCGGGCCGAGGGGGAGAGCAGTCGCCAATAACGTGGCCAGGGGAACCGCAGGCGGCGCGGGCGAGCGTACCTGGCGGCTGGCGCCGGATTCGGTGGAGCTGCCTACGAGCTCGGAGCACGCGGTGGGATCCGAGTGACAGGCCGGAGGAGGCGCGGGCGGGACGACCTCCTGCGCGGGCCGAGCTCGGAGCTCCTCGAACTGCTGGCCTGGCCCCCGCGCGAGATGTGGTGCGGGCCGACCTCCTCAGGCTCCAGCACCGGCTCTTGCTCCCTTCTTCTTTTTTCCTTTTTTTATATATTTAATAATTTATTTAATACTCTCTCGTTTTGATATTTTTTTTACATCGAATTTGTTATATACTCGCTCTGTTCTAAAATAAGTCTCCATTTCGGATTTTAAAGGCTCAACTAATCTCAAATTTAACTATTAGATTTAAAGAAAATAAAATTAATATTTATATGACCAGATAGATTTATATACTATAAAAATATATGACGCGGTTAATCTAATTGTGGCCTTATTTTCCTTAATGCATCTTTTTGGTATTTTTCTATATCTCTATCTATTTAGGTCTGTATAAGTTTGTCTAAACTCTCGATATCGCCTTACCTATATTGTATAATAGTATCCCTCAACCACAAGTTTTTTTTAGGCCAGCCAGCACCTCTGCGACTATTCAGCACTGTTCATGACGCGACGTCCGACACTGTTTATGACACGACATCGATATTCACTGTTCTCTTTTGTTTTTTTTCTCAGACGAATTTAAAATATTTTCTCCACTGTTCATAGTTTTATTTATTAATAAAGGTAGTGGCGACTAGTTTGAGTCCTTTGTCCTCCTTTACATGGTGATATCTTGAGATAGATAGGTCTAAATATTTTTCCGGTTTCTTCTAAGGAATTTAGCACAAGACGCAACCAGGGTTTTGAGCCTGTAGCCAAATGTTTGCTGTGAAGATTAACTAGCTTGTAGATTCTGTAGATTAATGTAACCAGCTGAATAAGCTTTGAAATTTCTTTAATTATACAAGCACCCCCAAAGAGAATGAAGAAAACAAAGCTTTGCCGTCTGTTCTGAAACTGAAGCTCAAACTTGAAATATGTCAGCAAAATATAAAGTTTTGTTAGTTTTTTTTTTCTCTCTACGTGGCATGCAGAGTAGTTAGCTAGTTCTCACTAATATTTTGTAGCAACTAGTACCTGCTGACGATACGTTCATGTAAGGAAATGTTGTTCATGTACTCCCTCCGTCCCTCAAAAAATACAGTACAATTCTCATTTACCAATGAGTCAAAATAGTTAATTTTAACCAAATTTATCTACAAAAAATACCAACAATTATGATACCAAATAAGTAACATTACATCGATTATGGAATATATTTTCATAGCAAATCTAATTGGGGTGATATTATTTCCTATAAACTTGATTAAATAAATTTAGAAAAAATAAAACCTAAAATTATATTCTTTTTGGGACAGACGGAGGAAGTATAAAGAAAGAAAAGGAAGTTTTCCATTTGTGTGATGAATGGATGCTGAAAGTCTGAAACTCTCTCCAAATTCTCTATTTTCTGTGCCTGCCTATTTGTGGATGCTCTAAACATGGTTTGAACTAGCAGTAATTAGCCATGGCCATTTCTGGTCAGGATTCACAAGCACACCTACCTACCGCTTCTCTCTCGCCACTCAAAATCAGCCCGACACTTGTCAATGCTGCAGCATCTTCAAGATTGTCTATATAAACCAGTCAGAGCACCTGACTGTCCATCAAACAATATCGTCGTTCGTTTGTTCCTGAAGTGATCTTGAGAAGTTACAAGCAGATCATCGGCAATGTCGAACATTGAGCAATCCTGCCAGGCCGGCAAGGCGCAGGCTGAGGGCGAGGTGAGCAGCTCCGGCATCCTCCTTCCAGTCCAAGCAGATCACATCACATCACATTCATCTGATATAGCATGGAATTCACTTCACCCCGGTGTACTGTGCAGCGCGCGGCGCAGTGCGTCAAGGGCGCCGCCGGCGCCACCGCCTGCGCCGTGGGCGACACCGCCGGAGCCGCTGCCGACAGCGCGCAGCTGCAGCAGCACCGCGCCGCCGGCGCCGTTCAGCAGGTACGAATGGCTGGTACCTCTCTTATCGCCGCAGAGTAAGTGAGTAACTGCGTGACCGTGCTTGCTAACACCGTCCGTGCGCGTGCCAAGGCTGCCGAGCAGGTGGCGCAGACGGCCCAGGGCGCGGCGGCGGCTGCCCAGGGCGCGGCGGCGGCCGTCAAGGACACGGTGGCGGGCGCGGCGGCGGGCGCGGCGGCGGCCGTCAAGGACACGGTGTCCGGCGGCCACTGATCGACCCACGCGTGAACCGGCGTAACAACAATGCTGCATGGCCAAGGATTGAGGGCTAAGGCCAAGGATGGCTAAATTTTACCCCTTTCCTTGTGTTTTTTTTTTAATTTCAATTAACATGTTTCATTCACCCAGCTTATTGTGATTGTGATCGCCTACGATAAAAAGGCCATCTTTACTATGATCAACATTATGTTTCCAGTTGCACTTACACTAGCACTGTTTCCTAGTGCAACTAAAGGAACAGCAATATATACATTATGTGTTTCATACTGTCAATGTTTTCTCAAACAACTTACTGTCAATGTTTATCATCCCTTCCAGATACTATGCATTGGTCTTGACAAAAGATTCGTATAATACTTTTAGCAAATTAGTGTGTGCTTTCAAATTACCAAAGATAACATAGGCCCCCAGAGAACGTTATGTTTCCAGTAGTACGATCAACATTATGTATTCACGCATCTAAATTGTGATCACCTACAATAAAAAGACCATCTTTACTATGATCAACACTATGTTTCCAGTACTATGATCAACATTATGTTTCCAGTTACACTTACACTGACATTGTTTCCTGGTGCAACTCAACAGCAGTACAGCAGTTCTGTCAATGTTTTTTTTAACGAACCTACTGTCAGGTGTCAATGTTCATCACGGAAGTGCTAGCGACAAAAGATTTACCTTTCATCCTTTCAAGATAAAATCTGTGACAAAAGATTTGACTCTCATCGGCGATCGTGACAAATTACTTAAGATCGGGATAATGATTTTAACAAATTGGCGTGTGCTTTCAAATTTCAAAAAATAATAGATGCTACCAAAGAACTCAATAGCCCAGTCATCAGCATAGTAACTCGGAAGACGCAGCAAGCTGCAAGCTCTCTTTCGCCGCTAATACAGCGGTACAACGTGCACAGCGGTTTTTAAGCGAAAATAATTGCATGAGCATCAAACTGTGGTACTAAATAGATCATGCTCACCAAAAACATACATCATACCACCAGGGGCGTCTCACTTTAATTCAAAGCACGATAAACCAGTACTTTCATAATATTACGGCTAAAAAATTTCAGAAGTACAATTCAATCAAAAAGTCCCAACTTCTAGCTTGTGACGTTCTTGATGGCAACATCCAGGCTTAGTTGGCAGCAGCGGCACCCTTCTTCGGGGCAGCCTCAGTCCCTGGATTGAGGTTAAGAAAACCAATTAAATTGAGTTCACCCAGGTTTGACACAAAGATGAGAATTCCAATGTCAAAAATTGCAGGGATCATCAACAACAAAAGAAACGTACCTTCTCTGAAGTTGCTCTTGAAACGGCGAGGCACGTGTCGCATGTACCTCATCCTTCCGGTCCCAGTTGTCTTGCGCCTGATGGCCTTCACACTCCAGTTATCTGAAATCATGGCCCACATGTTAACATTGAGTACATTCAGGTTAGAAGCAAGGCATATGAAGTTGAATCGAACAAACTAAAACTAGGTTTACAATTTACAGGATTTCCAACCAATGCTTACAAATCAGACCTATCATCATAGACCTAAACCCTTGAGACAAACAAAAGAAGCAGAAATATGTTAAGGCACCGAGAAGGCAAAGGCATGAGACAAACAGACAGAGTGCAAAGAAAATTAAAAAAAATGTGCAGGAGTCATCAGAGACTTAAAACGAGGGAATCACAGGGGAATAATCCCATCATATTGTTGCAGTTTAATACTCTTCATCTGACCATGAAAACAGGCAAGAACCAAGCTAAGCATCTCGGTAAGAAATATAGCAACCTAAATGTCAAGATTTGCAAAGAGAAACAGTGACACTCATTGTTTAGTATACTGCTGCTCGGAATCCGATGCACAAGGATAAAGATGGTATCACCATAGAATTAAAACTTAGGAATCATAGGATAATAACTCCAATCATGACGTTGGAGCAGTTAATTGCTCAGCGCATGATCATCAGCAGTGGAAGCAGGCAACACAAGTGTTCAAATGTACTACAAACTCACACGATGGTACAAGATGCAGCATCATGATAGAAAATTCCAAAAGGCTTCAACAGAGGAAGTATGCAGAAACATTTGTGTTGAATACACGAAACCAGTGACTCATGAAAAACAAAAGTAGGCTGACGCTCAGCACATGAAACATCTTCTCATTAATGCCAAGGCATCTCTAAAGTCTGACATGCGAATATAATTTTCATGATTCATCATAGCTTTCATTCAGTAGTTAGTAAACAATATCAGGGGGTGAACATAAAAAAAAAGTACATAAAGTGAGGTTTGTAAATGAGGGCAATGCCCAAACATACAAGGAGTGAACAGCAGAACAATATAATATGGTTCATACGAATCAACTGTTCTAAAGTACCACAAAAATCAGCAATTGGCTTAATGGGATCAGTTTGGAAAAACATTGTTGTCAGTCAAGTATAATCAGAAACACGGACCAATGTTTTATTCATCATTTCCCGCACGAACGAATTCAGCAGCACATTAAGCAGAAAGCCCATAAGCCGGTAGCATAATAATGAACAGAAAGTTACAAGCACGAACCCTACTACATACGTGACAACGTTCAAAAGCTCATGCAGTTTTTAAGATCATAATAAAACATACCAAATCACACTGTTTGGCCATCTAGATATATGGCAACACGGAGCAACATCACAGGACAAAACTGGCTAGATCTAGAAGCGGGGGAAACGGAAGAAGAGAGGAAGCGAGGAGGCGGATCTTACACTTGCGGATGCGGGCGGCGGGGTAGCCGCAGGAGGAGCAGGTGCTCTTCTGGAGGTGGAAGCTGCGGCGGCCGCAGCGGATGCAGAGCGTGTGCGTCTTGTTCCGGCGCTTGCCGAAGCTGCCCGTACCCTTCCCCTGCGAGCCACAGCAACAACATCATGTTAGCAGACGGACGGACGGAGGCGTAGGGGGAGGCGGCGGCGCGGACGTACCATTTCCTTCCTTGCTCCGCTCGGCTAGGGTTCGAGGCGGAGGCGCGGCGTGGCCGGGTTGGGAGAACTGGCGGCGTGGGGGTGGAGAGGCGTAAAACCCTAGCGTTTTATAGCGACCGCCGCACGCGGCACTGGTCACTGGGCTTTTGGTCCGTAAATGGGCCGAGAGGAGTCTTTGCCCTAACCTTCTTACATAAGCTTTCGACCACCCGGTGGATTGGGCCCCCAACAGCGACGTTTGTTGTTCACACGGTGTTAAATTTTTCATTTAGCCCTTTCTGAAACTATATTAACAAGTATATCCTTCTAGAAACTTTTTTCTAAAACTAGATCCAAAGCCCAGCGTTAAATAATACAATGTCAAGATCTTTTGCATCGGTGTTATGTCAAGTTGCACCGAAGCCTGCCATGTTACCGCCAACATGGCATGGCCTCACCAAGCCTCGGTGACGTAATTTAGCGCTGACCCTTGTACCTAGGTGTTTAGTCGGCTCACATCGAGGTCTAGTAGGCACCTAAAACGTGTCGGCCCCTCTTCTTCCTCCTCCTCTCTTACGGTGCGCCACCTCTTATTTCTCTCCCATTCACTCCCCATGAACCGTAGCTTCTCTCCCATTCACTCCCTATGAACTATAGCTTCCAAATCTGACCCTAAGGAGCCCTGATCTCACGTGGTATGACTTCCATGAGGTAATCCCGCCTCTTCTCTTGCATTTCATTCGGCCAGATTTGATATATATTGGTGTGATAGGGTTAGAACCCTAAACTAGGGGTGTATGGTTGGTTTGGTATTTTATTTGTGAAATGTATGTTAGAAAATTAGCATGCATGTGTAGCAGGTAGTATAGGCTTAGGGTTCTTTAGTTGAACATTTTTTTTATAAAATGCCAAAGTCTAGAGTTGCTTACAGTGGAACTTATCATGAAACCAAATGGTGTAGAGTAGCCGCACTGAACATGTCTCGCCGATTTGAATTGTCCACCGCCGTGTCCAACCAAACCTTTACATTGGCATTGCCGTCCCTGCCATTATCATACGTGAAAGGCAAGCCCACAAAGCCAAGGTCTGTCAGTCCACAATCAGCGAGCACATCCCGGAACGCAGCCATCTGTCTTTCCGAATGTTGACAAGCTAAAAAATGTTCATAGCTCCACATAGCTTCATTAAGATCACCAATCAGTAGCCACGGCTCAACTGACGCCCCACACAACATTCTCATCAATTCCCACATAAAGTGTCTATCTTCAGTCGGTTCACCATACAAAGGTAATTTGAAAGAGGCAAAGTACCTGATTCACGAACATGCACATCAATGAAACGTCTATGTTTTTCAATCAAGTGAACATCAACCGACTCATGCCAAAACAAAGCCAAACCACCACCTGTATTAGTACTATCAACGGCAACAGAATGTTTGAGCCCCAATCTCCACCTCAAATTCATAGCACGATCGCCTACCATTCTTGTTTCAGATAAGAAGACCAGGCGGGACTTTTTGCTCCTACTCTTGAATTGTCCGAGAGAGTCCTAGCCCTCGGCAGTTCCAGCTTAAATGATTCATTGCTCCTGACGGGCCTTGCCATGAGGACCCGTCAAGTTGAGAGACGAGCTGTGGGGGGTATAACCCCAGTTACCCATGGCAATAGACATGGGCCACACCGCTAGGGGAGGTCCAGCCTATAATATTAAGGCCTACGGTGCCCAGTTCTGGTCGGCGTGCACCACAAGACAATCAAAAGATATTTTGGCAATGAAGGAAGATCTTTTCAGATATGATAGATATCGTATTCCTTGTAAATACTTACTATATAACCGGATAGATCTAGGTCCAATCCGACTTGTAACCCTACCCCCTAGACTATATAAGGTGGGTAGGGACCCCCTCAAATGGATCTCATATACAATACAATACACCAAAGACACAGGACGTAGGGTATTACGTCGATCAGACGGCCCGAACCTGTCTAAATCGTTGTCTTTATGCTTGTGTCACCATCCGGTTCCTATTACGCGCACCTCTACCGATTCATCTACTACCGTGGGCATACCTCTCGATAGACTGCCGACCATATTTCGTCGACACGAACCCTCTGCAATCTCCATTGCCACAGATAGGATTGTGAGATCGACAACACAAACGACTTCAGGTGGGAAAGATCGCTAGGGATCCTTCTGATCACCCGCCGTGACCTCAAAACTCTAGATGAGTCTGCAACGACTAGAAAACCACGGCAAAAATCCTCAAACAGACGACCGAAGAAGACCTTGGTATCTAGAGGCCTAATCGGAGAGAGGAAGGGACTCCCTCTGACGTGGGGAAGGTGGACTCCCCGGCAATTCCCGTCAACCCTAGTCGTCGCCGGCCTGCCGCTGGGCAACGAGTTAGGAAGACGTAGCGCTAACTGTGCGCCTGCTGCCTTAGCAGCCATTCGATCATTAAGCATATTGCCTTAATTAGCAGCCATTCATTAAGATTCCCTTGGCAGCCTTTCTATAGTTCGTCTTCTTCTAGTAATCGTACATAATTGACTTCTTCGTCTCGTCAAAATGGGTTGGCCCGGCCGAAAATGTTTCACCTGCATGTCCCGCTGTGAAAATGGCGATCGTAGCAAGCAGAAGCTAAGCTGCAGGTCACCGGTCACGTATGCCAAGACCGAACGTCTACTACATATGCCACACAAGATTCATGGACCAGCTTTCGTTCGTCGTATATGCACGCTAGCTGCAACCAAAATGTACGTACATTGTGACCAGGGACGGCAATTGTATATGTGGGTATTGCACCCGATCGGTACAGGCACGTACGGATACAAAAAAAAATTACCCATAGATATAGGTATGCGTATGTATGTATACAATATAGATTCTACCGGCCGACACTACTACAAAAACTTTACTGGAGGCAGACGTTTTCGGTTTTCCGCGGCGGACAAAGCCGTCCGCCGCGGCCTAGAGGCCACGGTAAATCGTGGCTTAACATGACAGCGGCCTTGCCCGCCATGTTAACCGATTTACACAAGCGCGAGCGATGTAACGTGTCCGCCATGGTAAATATACTTTACCACGGCGACACGCGTTACCGCCGCCCGCGATTAATCGTTTGGAAAAAAAAAAAACCAAAGCCCACCGGCGAGCCCATTGATCGAGCCCACCGGCGAGCCCAATCCCAAACCGAAACCCTAAGCGCCGCCATCGTCGCCCCTCGATCCATTGCAGCCCCGCCTCTGCAGGCGGCCGCCAAGATGAGGCCGGAAAGGAGGAGGGCGCCGAGCAACCACAAGATCCGCGTCGCGCCACCACCAGCTCCGACGTCCGTCTTGGCTCTAGATCTGGGAAAGGGAGAGGGCATAGTGAGGGAGACAAAGAAATCATAGCAACAACAATGAATCCAAATCGATTAAAAATCACTACAATACAATAAAGCGTAAAAAAGGAGAGAATGGATTCAAGATGAAAAAGAACTCTAAAATGGCACGCCAAAACAAGAACTCAAGTGTAGGAGATCATAAATAACAGTCCAATATACATCAAACTTCCGCATCACATGACATTTCGACCCCAAAAGCAACAACCGCCTCGGAAATGAAGGGAATCGTGGCGCAAGGAGATTTTGATCCGGCTAACAGTAGTCGATCCACGCACCTGGCTTGATGAAGGGCGAGATCTCGCACGGCGAACTTCGATTCGTCCACCTTGCAAGGAGGAAGGGGCACATCTCGGTCATCCCACGCCAATCGCCGGCCGCCAGAGCGCCGCTTAGGCGCTGGCTGGGTTTCAGCCTAGCCGCAAGCAAAGAAGGCGGACAAAGCCAAGGCATGGATCCGTGGAGGCGTCGGCGGCCACCGTGGATGCGGGCCATGAGACACCGGGCGCTGGGCTCACCGCTCGCGACCGCCAAATGCGTGAGCGCCATCGCAGGCGGCTTGATTTGAGCAGCACGGCCACACCGCACTCGAGCTCTGGCGGCGGCACTGGACCGGAGGCGAGCGGGTCACCGCCATGTGCGCTTCCGTCGGCGGCGCCCCTCACTCGGCTCGCATGTCCCGACGTCGCCGATACTGCTTTCGTCTGCTCTTCTCTCTCAAATGCGCGACGCGAAAAGAGGAACAAGAGAAAATGAAGCTAGGGTTTTTGGGTCACGGGCGGTGATGGATTTTGTTCCCGGCAGAGTGTCCTCGGCCGTCGGATTGGCATCAACGGATCGAGATCGAGCCAACGCTAAGTGGGCTCATGGGGCGGGTGGACCAAATACGGCTTATGCTGCCCAGTTCCTCGGTGGCTCCGCCCGGCGTCACAAGGAGAAACACGGTCATCACGCCGTCGCCTCGGCCATCCGCCTGTTGTTGCTATTTTTAATTGATGTATACAGATGCCCGCCACGGTAAATCGATTTACCGTGGCGGCACCTTAAACGCCGCCCGAGAAATAGGCTATTTTCCGAGGCGGACGTCTTAAGACGCCCGCCACGGTAAATCGATCTACCGTGGCGGGCAAAAGTGACCGCCTCATAAAATAAAAAACACCCGCCTACGTAAATCGACAGGCATTAACCGTGGCGGGCAAAAAGATGCCCGCCACGGAGGCCACTCGGGCGACGTCGCGCAAATTCGATTATGTAGTAGTGCGATAGAAAAACACAAAATATTTTATTTATTCTAGTGACAAAGAACAATTTAAATACAACCTATTTTTAACTTATTTCACTTAAAAATAATTAAGTAAAAAATGATGGTTGCTAATATAGAAGGGGTGGGGGTGGGGCAAGAATCAGATCGAATTACGCGAAACCAGCTATCTAGTGTCTCTCCTTGCTAGGCATAAAAACGAAAAACGTTTCTAGTGATTCTCGAGTGAAACGTTTCTAACCTGACCCGTTTGGCAGGGATTCTACTGATTCCATCTCGCAAGAATCAGAAACGTGTTTCGTTGCTAAATTAACCGGGGGCTAATAAGTCTACACGCATGTATATACGGACCAAGCTTTGCATGGCTCCAAATTGTTAGTCCAACCTGGTACGCATAAAAGTAAGTGAGTCAAGTCCCTGGTCTCACCACATCACGACACAGGTAGGCAACAACAACGCACCGTACCTGTACCTACCTAGTTTGGAACGCATGCATGTATACAAAAAAAAGTAGTGATATATACGGACCCAGTCGTCGTCAAATAATTGTCGTCAGTCCTCCCTGGCATACGTATAGAAGTCAAGAGAGCAAGAGTAGTATATATAGAGACGTTCCGGTAGTAAGATCGACACACATCAGTACCTGCATAGCACATGCATGTACGTACATCGATCGATCGAACAGCAAGGAAATAAACTAGAGAACACAAATGGAGCTACTACTCTCTGACGAAGGTCTGGCCGTCCTGGTGCCCATCGTGGTGTATTCGGCGTATTGTGGCCTGCATGCAACGCTTGGCCAGTCCATGTACATGGACAAATACAGGCTGCACCCAAGCAGCCATGCATGAAGATGGCAAGAACCGTGTGTCACTCGAAGCGACAAGTCATCAGCAACGTCCTCAAGCAGCAGCTCGTGCAGGTTGCCATGGTGGCCATGGTGATGATGTTCAAGGTACGTGCCTAGTATATATGGCTTAAGATTATTTTATATATTGCATTGCCAGCATGCATCGTTATATGGCTCTTTTTGGTATAATATATGTTCCTTCTACGTAGAATGCATATAATGCACAGAGGAGCCATGAAGATAGCTATTTTGTTGGATTTAAATTTAATTGAGATACAGGTCAAAGGAGGGAGCGCCATCAATACGAAAGCGGCATCACCGGCGCAAACCTCCTATATGAAGTTAGCCAGCCAAATCGCGGTGGCCATGGTTCTGGTTCGACGTGTGGCAGTATGCATGCCACCGGATCATGCACACCTGCAGGTTCCTCTATCGGAACCTCCACTCGTGGCACCACCGTCTCGTGGTTCCCCTACTCCTTCGGAGCCTTGTATGGACACCCTGTCGAAGGCTTCATCGCTGACACTTTCCTGGTGTCTGGCATGTCGCCGAGGGCTTCCATCTTCTTCTTCTCGCTATGCACCGTCAAGGTCATTGACAACCACTGCGGCCACTGCTGCCCAGCTGGGATCGCCTGAGCTTCTGGAACAGCGCGGCGTACCACGACATGCACCACCAGCTACGCGGTGGCAAGTACAACTACTCTCAGCTCTTCTTCGTGGTGTGGGACAGGATTTTTGGGACGTACATGCCCTCCCTCATCAAGGACACAGAGGAGAAGGAATGCTCCAGGTCCAGGCACCTGGGCTTGACTACAGGAGAATCAACAAGCAGCTATTCTCATACATGTGTATCTCAAGATTTAGAGTATATGCTAAATAAGTAAGTATACAAAGAGTATGTGGTCATATTTATTTCATATACAATTGTGATGATATTATAATGAAATATATGGGTTTGTTTGAAAAAAAATTCACGTAGTAAGATTTGAAATATCTTAAAATGAGTAACACCTCTTTGAGTGTCTTGGTGTGTGCTCTGGTATGTTTGACTACTGTTACGTATTCCAAAATTTAAAAATTCAATACCATTTTGCAACAAGTTGACCAAATAAATAGGATACATGAATTGCTGGAAAAATGAGTCTGAAGATCAGGTCTTGGTCTTGGTAGGTGGCAAGATCATATCATGTGCTCCAAAGAAAAGGGAAAGAGTGTTTCAGAGAACATAAAGACTCTCTCAAAAGAAAATGCCGAATTGCACAGGTATCTCTCCAATTGACCATACCAAAACATCTAAGCATATATCATCTCAAAGAAAAAGGAAGGCATCTAAACTGCCTAAAATGGACATATGAAAAAATATATATGAAAGCAACCTTTCGGGAATATAGAGATGTACAGGCTCAAGCCACAGCACCCCAGCCCTGGGCCGCTCGGGCTTGGGAAGTCTCTACCCTACCCTGGGCCTTCGGATCTTCTGATGGGCTCTCCTCTCCGCTTTCTTTACCCTCTAGAGACAGAACTTGACGTCATCATCAATCGTAGCCCATACATTTTGCCTGGTTGCAAATTTCTATCTCTAAAAGAAAACACATTTTGTTCCAATAAAAAAGTAATTGTTTTTAACCTAAAAAAACTGATGCAATGTTGTGCAGAGATAGAACACCCCATATCTATTCGGCCTTCCACTCGATATAGCACTATAGAAACTTGCTACAGAGGCATGAAGGGGCACAAAGCTGTACATGTTTTAGTTTTATATAATATGGGGTGCTGATGCGTCCAAGCCAAAAACAAAACTAGCCATTAAAATTTGCCAAATACAAAACTCGTTACTGTGACCAAATTTCACAAAAAAATCATGCACGAACAAGGCACACACCAATCTTCCATTCGCTCTGCTCTCGCTTGGCCACTGTCCACGTGCATTAACTTTAATAATTCTTATTACAGCCACAAGGCGAAAAGATCAACTTGACCAACCTTTTCAACACCCACAAATTCCGGCCGTGTAGTGTTGAGATTGCTCGACTGTCACCCCTGCGCAACGCAGGAGAAACGACATTGTCAGCCTGTTCGTTTGTTGATTTCAGGCAGAACTTATCAATCATGGTACAGTGTTTTTCTCTCACAACAAATCAGTACCAACCGAACTTATCAGTACAGAAACCAACCAGCGCTGAAGGCCGGACAATAGTCCGGTCCACTGCCGGCTCCACCTGAGTCCGGGTCTGATGACATGATGCCCATCTTTGGTCTGTACGCACGAGAGAAACAGTATCTGAACAAGAAGAACAAGTCAGACTAAAAAAGCTGGATTAGATATTGATGTAACAGGCGGCAGGCACCAAGATGCTTCGAGGCAAACTGCTGGAAGATCAACCAAGGTATCAACGTCTGCGCATGTGGCTGAAGATGACGCACCAACTCAAAAGAAGAAAGGAAGTAATTTCTCAACTCTTGCAGGATATGACCAAGTACAATACAGGAGAATAACACACCAAGGGCTTCCCCTTCTTAATGCAAAATACTACATAGAGAATGAGTCTTTTGGGCGCTATTCACCAAGATGGAACTATTTTACCATTTTCTTTTTGTAGGTTGCAAATTCCATTTGGCCACTTGGCTCACCAAACCGGTTCTTCTGACCAGGTCTCTGCAATGGCTGGGCGCAATACAATCCTGATAGAACAAGCTATAATGAGGTCCAGGCAATTATAAGGATGGCTTAGTTCTTCCCGAAAGGAGCCCTGCATCATACATCATAGATTCCTAAGAAAGCAGAGGCAGAAGAACACATAGAGATGGGTCGAGTGTTACCATGGCTAATATTTGCAGCCACCCTGCTGCTAGCATCCATCAAGAGCAGCACAGCGTATAGGATGGCAAGGCCTGGCTGCAGAGAAACATGCGGCAACCTCACCATTCCATACCCCTTCGGGCATCGGTACTGATCCTGATTGCTACTATGAGCAAGGGTTCGACGTATCATGCGAGGACAACCGCACTTTCATGCATAACTCAAGCAGCCGAATGGAGATCTACAACATCAGCCTGCTAGGAGGGCAGGTTCGAGTCAGCACCTTGATTGCCTCCAAGTGCTACTACGGCAACAACGACAATCGCAACACAGATGGATGGGCCACGGCGAATACTGCTCGCTTTTTCACAATATCCAGCAAGGCCAACAAGTTAACAGCCATTGGATGCTCCACTCTTGCATACTTGAAAGGCTACAACAAGCACAGCGTTAGAACTGGGTGCTTATCTATGTGCCTGGACAAGGAGAGCGTGGATCAGAGCAGCATGTGCTCTGGCATGGGCTGTTGCCAGACATCCATTGCACCAAACCTCACTTACCTCAACATAACCTTCGATACAAGGTACGACAATTCTGAGGTAAGTGGATTCGATCCGTGCAGTTATGCCTTTGTCGCCGAGCAGGATTGGTTCAAGTTTAATGCTTCCTACCTGGAGGATAACAAGTTCACAGAGAAATTCAAGGATGGGGTTCCTTCTGTGTTTGACTGGGTTGCTGGAATTCAGTCCTGTGATGAAGCGCCTAAGAATAGATCATCATATGCCTGCATTAGCAAGAACAGCCACTGTGTCAACTCAGCAAATGCTACAGGGTACCTCTGTAATTGCAACGATGGCTTCGAAGGGAACCCCTACCTCGAAGATGGGTGCCAAGGTCAGCAACTCTCCAGAGTTCAATTTCTTGTTTACACCTCAAGTTACTTGCTCACTGATCTTCAGTTATTGTGTACTCTTGTTCGATGTTTGCAGATATCAACGAATGCCAATATCCAGATAAATATCAGTGCTTTGGAAATTGCAGTAACACAATTGGGGGTTACGACTGTTCCTGCGCAGCTGGGACTCATAGCATAAATCCAAAGAAATCAACTTGCACTCCGGATGCAGCTTTAGACCCCTCAAACGAAAAAGATACAGCTTCAGAGAAGGCTAAATTAACAAAAATGTTTATAGGTAATTTCTTTATACTCCAAATATTTCAGTACAGTTATCAGAATGACATGGATAAGCAACTCTGATCCAGTGGATATACCCAAGCACTAGTGACATGAAATCAGCCCTGATTACCTTTACCTGAATAGGCTCCTAAAACTTACAATACTTGAATTTTAATCACTTCCCTTGGTTAATAGCCAAAGATAAATGGGTTGACAGAATACTGTAAACATTCTCTTAGTACTCAAGGCAACATGGTATCTCTAGAAATATTCATCTCCCTATTATAATTGAGTAAATAAGATGGCACAAGAGGGTGCCACTTCATATAAAAAATTCCATCTAAGAAAACCACTCAGTAAATAACACAATCATAGAACTTACCATAGACTTACCATAGACTTCAACGAATGCCAAGATTTGAGAACTTCTTTATAGATCTCTTTCACACACAAAATCAACAACTGATTATTTCATATGATCTACGTAAACAATAATTTAATTGAAGGTAGGCTCAGTCCTAGTTCAGTATTTGATTGAAAGTAGTGATAGATTATGGAAACATCATAACATGTGTTCACAAGGGCGTACTTAAACAAATGAAAAATAAATTGTGTTCACTTGTTAAGACATTGCATATTCTGATACTTGTTTGAAGACTATGCAATCCATATCAGGACAAATCCAATGCTCTGAATCATAAGTACTAATTTAACACAATATAAAAGGTGCACAAGGTAAGCTTTATTCTCATATATATAAGTGAAACATACTAAAGCATGAAGATAAACATAATTCTAAAAAAGCACGAAGATAAACCATGTTCTCTAATTAACACATAAGGTATCCACAACATCGGCGTATGCCGTATACATTAGGTGATAGTTGCAGAAGCGTTACTCATCTTATGTGCATATCATCCCTAAACTAATCATCACACCGACGACTTTTATATGAATGAACAAGAAAAGGATCTAAATACTTGTTTATGTTTTGACAACTGTGCCTCACAAAGAGTACTGATCTAGTAACTGAAAGAAAAGACCTTTGCTAATTGAGCCATTAGATACCCCAAAAAACATGTTAATTTAGATTTAAAATAACTGAACTGAAATAATGTTTTTCTTGGCAGGTATTTCGTCATGTGCTATAATTCTGCTTATCTGCTTTTTTGCACTGCTGATTGAATGTCAGAAGAAAAGGCTCATGAGAGAAAAGGAAAAATTCTTTCAAGAAAATGGGGGTCTGCTGTTATATGAGCAAATCAGGTCAAAGCAAATTGATACAGTGAGAATATTCACAACAGAAGAACTCAAGCAAGCAACAAACAATTTTGACTCAAGCAGAGAAGTAGGGAGAGGCAGCTATGGTACTGTTTACAAAGGAATTCTGAAGGACAACAGGATAGTAGCCATAAAACGCTCGAAGATTATGAACATGGTTCAGAAAGATGATTTTGTGCAAGAGATGGTTATACTTTCACAGATCAACCATATAAATGTAGTCAGGCTTCTCGGTTGTTGCTTAGAAGTTGAGGTTCCCATGTTAGTATATGAATTCATGCCAAACGGCACTCTGTTCGATTTGATACATGTCACATACAGAAGATCATCCATTTCATTGGATTCTCGTCTCAGGATTGCCCAGGAATCTGCAGAAGCACTAGCATATCTGCACTCATCAGCATCCCCTCCCATAGTTCATGGAGACGTAAAATCTCCAAACATTCTCCTAGGTGACAATAACATAGCAAAAGTTACTGATTTTGGAGCATCAAGAATGCTCCCAAAGGATGAAATACAATTTATGACAATGGTACAGGGAACTCTTGGTTATCTAGACCCTGAATACTTACAAGAGCGTCAACTAACAGAGAAGAGTGATGTTTATAGTTTTGGAGTTGTGCTTCTAGAGCTAATTACAAGGAAGACAGCGATTTATTCTGAAGGTACTGAAGAAAAGAAAAGCCTGGCATCATCCTTCCTTCTGGCATTGAAAGAGAGCAGACTTGAATCTATCTTGGACAGAAATATATTGGGTGTCCGAATCGAGCTGCTACAAGAAGTCGCTCAAATTGCAAAGAGTTGCTTGAGTATGAGAGGGGAAGAACGGCCATTAATGTCAGAAGTGGCTGAAAGGTTGAGATTTATACGGAGAACCTGGCGAGAACAGTTGACTGAGCATGCTAGTGAAGAAACTGAATGCTTGCTTGAAAACCCATCGAACTACGACCCTTCTAGTACTGGACGGCATGGAAGTTTGATGGGACTAGATTTAGAAATTGGTAGATGATAAATGTGTAAGTACCAAAATTATAGATTGAAACAGAAAGTTATTTTTTCCTGACATAAATACACTGTAAACAAGAAGGGCGGGCCTGGTCCAAGCGGTAGAGTCTTACCGCCTGTGACCGGAAGGTCCCGGGTTCGAGTCGCGGTCTCCTCGCATTGCACAGGCGAGGGTAAGGCTTGCCACTAACACCCTTCCCTAGACCCCGCACAGAGCGGGAGCTCTCTGCACTAGGTAAGCCCTTTTTTTTATAAATACACTGTAAACAAGTACTATCATTTGCTTTTGGCATCAAGCTTCTCACCACGAATGGCCAACTTGTTGATGGGATAAGTCTCATGTGTTGGTCTTTATGGGGCTGTGCTGGTCACATGGTCTTTGTGACTGCATGGTCTATTTTTAGGACAACATAGGACAACATCTTAGACTAGAGGACAGCATCTTAGACTAGCATCTAGATGACAGCATCTTAACATCTAGGACAGCATCTTAGACTAGCATATTGGCATATGTTTGGCTGGCTAGCAGCCTATAAATATGTATCCCCAACCCCTCGGGTTGGCATGACATTTGTGTGAGTTTGTGTGAGAAATAAACCAGAAAATTGCCCTAACTCCTAGTGTCATCCTCTCTCGATGAGAGTAAGAATTCTGCTACTACCGAGAGTGAGAGTTCAACGACTAACAACTGGTATCAGAGCCGTACTATCCTGTAGCCTGAGCATCTCCTACTCATCTCCTCTCCCAGCCACACAACAGCCCCTAATCAGAAAGCAAAGCAGCCCGCCCGCTCCTCGCCACTCCTCCCCACAGACGAAAGGCAGCAGCCGTCTCCCAGCCTCCCCACGCAGCAGCAGCCCCCCAGCGCTGCGTCATGTCCGCAGGCGATCTCGGCCTCGGTCGCCTCTCGAAAGCACGCTGGGGTCGGCGGAGGCCAACTTGCCGCGCAGCAGAGAACGCGAAGCGAAGCGGCGGCATAGACCGGCTGGCGGCGCGGCAAGCGCGCCGAGGTTGGCGATGGCGGAGCCGGCAGCAGCCAGAGCGGAGGCGAAGCGGCGGCGGCGGCGAATGCGATCGTCTGGGCGGCAGCAGAGGTCGAGGCCTCATGCGCAAAGATCGCCAGCCTGTTGCTGACGACACCGCCGACGCGACCTCGAGCCGCTAGAGAGGCAGGCATGAAGCGCGGCGCGGCGCGGCGTGGCGGCGCGCGCGCGCCTACGAAAGCATGGCGGCAGCCGGCAGCCAGCAAGCGCGGACGCTACCGGCGGCGCTCTGGAGGAGGCGCGCGCGCGCGGTGGCGCTCTGGGCGCAGCCGCGACGCCACGCGCGCGCGGCGCAACTGTAACAGGCGGACGCAGCGCGGCGGCGCTCGGTGGCGCGCGGCGGCGCTGCTCTGGAGGAGGCACGCGCGGCAACGGTGGCGGACGGGTCGATGGAGAGCGCGGCCTTCACAGTGCGGCGTGGGGCTCTCTCCCCGGATCGGTACCGCGTGGTTACCACGGGCTCCAAGTCGTTGTCGTGGGGCGCCGGTCCCGCGGTGGGTGGCCTACCCTCACCAAGACCAACTACGCCGAGTGGGCTGCGGTGATGAGGGTAAAGCTCCAGTCGCGGCACATGTGGGAGGCGGTCCGATCTGGCGACGTCGACTATGACCTAGATCGACGGGCGTCAGATGCCCTCATCATCGCAAGCCCCGCCCGAGATGCGCTTCGCTACTACCAACAAGCGGATTGCCAAGGAGGCTTGGGGCGCCATCGCCGCGGCACGCGACGGCAGCCGACATCACCCGCAAGTCCACACCGCAGCACTTCGCCGCGGAGTGGGAGAACACGCCTTCAAGCCGGTGAGGACGTTGATGACTTTGCTCTCCGCCTCAACACTCATTGCGTAAGATGGTGCGATTCGGCGATGACACCTACGGCGGAGAGAGAGCCGTCGAAAAGCTCTTTCGGCCGCGTCCCGAGAAGTACAAGCAGATGGCTCGCTCGATCGAGTCCTCGCTGGATCTCTCCACGATGTTGATCGAGGAGGCGATAGATCGCCTCAAGGTCGCCGGCAATGATGAGCCGTAGTCTCTCTCGGGGCCCATCACCATTGGCGGAAGCTCCTTCTCACTGGGAGCAAAGGGCTTGCCACCAAAGTGACCGGAAGAAGGGGAGCCTTCTTCCGCGACAAAGCGATCGCAAGCGTGGCAAGCCACGCAGACGCCCAGACGGGCGCGAGGACGTCTGCGAGGTGATGCCTGCCGAGGCGCGCCAGGCGGCGCCACCGGCAGCACAAGCCAAAGACGAGACGACGCTGCACCAGCTGCGCGCCGGCAGCCCATTAGGCCAAGGACTGCCGACAACCACGACGCGGCCAGGCCCACGTCGCACAGGCGGAGGAGGAGTCGGCTCTGTTCATGGCACATGCAAGCATCGAGCTACCTCCAGCGGCACCGGCCGCAGCGGCCCTCCTCCACCTTGACAAGTCAAAAGCACACGCCCTCCTCGGCGACGGCTCCAGCGACGACAAGACTGACGGGTGGTGCCTCGACACCGGTGCCACCCACCACATGACCGGTCGACGGGAGTTCTTCACCGAGCTTGACTCTAGCGTCCGAGGCTCCGTCAAGTTTGGGGATGCCTCCGGCGTGGAGATCAAGGGCGTCGGCTCCGTCATCTTCACCGCCATGTCTGGTGAGCACAGGCTGCTCACCGGAGTCTACTACATCTCCGCGTTGAGGAACTCCATCATCAGCTTGGGACAGCTGGATGAGAACGGTTCGCGCGTGGTGGTTGAGGACGGAGTCATGAGGATTTGGGACCGTCGTCGTCGCCTTCTTGCCGAGGTATCCAGAAGCGCAAATCGACTCTACGTCCTTAACGTGCAGGTGGCACAACCCCTCTGTCTCGCTGCTCGTCGGGACAACGAGGCGTGGCAGTGGCACGAGCGTTTCGGGCACCTTCACTTTGAGGCCCTGAAGCGGCTCAGTGCCACGAAGATGGTGCGAGGCCTACCGTGCCTCGACCATGTGGAGCAGCTACCGCAACGCGTCTGCGTGTTGACGGGCGAGGCGGCGACTCCTTTCCCCAGTGGGCGAGCTTTCGAGCCAAGGAGAGGCTCGAGCTTGTGCACGGGGACTTGTGTGGCCCGGTGACATCGGCCACACTAGGAGGACGACGTTACTTCCTGCTGCTCATTGACGACCTCTCCCGCTACATGTGGGTGATGGTCCTCGGCAGCAAGGGAGAGGCTGCGGACGCCATCAGCGCCAGCAGCAGTCGCCGCTGGGCGAGTCTGCGGTCGCAGTCGCTGCGCGTCGCAAGACCGACAACGGCGGGCAATTCGCGGCGCATCGCTACTTGACGAGGGCATTCAGCGCCACTACTCCGCGCCCGTCATGCCCGCAATGAATCGGCGCGTCGTCGAGCGGCGCAACCAGACGGTTGTGGGGATGGCTCGGGCCCTCCTCAGCGAGGGGATGCTGGCTATCTTCCGGGAGAGGCGGTGGTGACGGCCGTCTACATCCTCAACCGCCTTCGCCTACCAAAGGCGCTTCGACGGCAGGGGAGCGCCGACGAGGCTTGGCATGGGCGCAAGCCGGCGGTCTCCCACTTGCGGGTCTTCAGCTGCCTCGCGTTCGCCAAGGAGCTTGGCCACATTAGCAAGCTCGACGACAGGAGCACTCCGAGAGTGTTCATCGGCTACGCGGAGGCTCGAAGGCCTACCGCATCCTGACCCGAAGACACGGCGTGTGCGCGCGCGCGCGGCGTTGTGTTCGGCGAAAAAGGCGAGAGGATGGGCGTGGGACAAGGCGGCGGTGGATTTACGGCTCGGCTCCGACGTCACGACGCACTTCACTGCTGTTGAGTACATCCACTTCGAGGGAGCTGGGGAGTAGGCGCTCTTCTTCTTGAAGCGCGTCTACCCCATCCCGAGAGCCTCCACCGACCCCGCGCTACCGCTATCTCGACAAAGACCACGCTCTCCGCCCCAGACCTCGGGCTGCGATGAGTTCTTCACGGCTCCACCACGGTAAACAAACGCCACGCACTCTAGCACCGACAGCACCACTCGGCACGCGTCTACTCCACCACCACTCGTGTCGAGCACGGCCCGGCTGAGCTCGCTACTCGCTCTCACGACGAGGAGCGCGTCGTCGACGTACCACGACGGCGCGCCGCCGCTGCGGTACCGTCACGATGGAGAACCTTCTCGGCGACTAGCCGGTGCCGGGACCGATGGCCTCACGACCTAGAGGCGCGCTTGCACCTTCGCGTGATTTACGGCGGCGCGAGCCTCGGTCGCTTGCGAGGTCGAGAGACACGCGCATGGCGCGCCCGCGATGCGATTGGAGATGGATGCGGTTGAGAAGAACCGCACTGGAGCTTGCTAACCTTCCTCGTGGTCACCGCGCGCGATCACCCTTAAGTGGGTGTACAAGTCAAGATGGATGAAGCCGGTACCATCGTCAAGCACAAGGCTCGCTTGGTGGCACGAGGTTTCGTGGCAAGCAGGAAGGGGTCGACTTCGACGACGCCTTTGCTCCCCGTGTAACGGATGGAGTCCGTCGCGACTCCTCCTTGCGCTAAGCCGCCGAGAGGGTCGGGCGTGTTCATCACATGGACGCCAAGTCGGCGCCTCATACGGCGACTTGAAGGAGGAGGTCTCGTGCACCACCCGGCCGGGATTTGCGATCCCCAACGACGGAGGGCAGGTGCTCACCGCTGCGCAAGGCCCTCTATGGCTTGCGGCAGACCGAGGGCGCGTGGGAATGCCAAGTCGATTCCACGCTAAAGGGGATGGGCTTCGAGCAAAGCCCACACGAGGCGGCTATCTCACCGACGGGCGGGAGGAAATGCTCTCTGGGTGGGGGTGTCTCGTCGACGACTTGGTGATCACCGCACCAAGGATGCGAGGTGGCGGCATCAAGGAAGAGATGAAGGCCACCTTCCGGATGAGTGACCGGGGCCTCTCTCTTCTACACCGGGAATCGAGGTGCACCAGATGACTCGGGATCACGCTTGACAGCATCGCCTCGCCAAGCGCGTCGTTGAGCTAACTGGGCTCACCGATCGCAACCCAGCTCTCACTCCGATGGAGGAGAGGTCAAGTCGAGCCAGACAAAGACGGCGGAGGAGGTGGACGCCACGCAATCTGCGATCTTGTGGGGAGCCTTCGCTACCTCGCCCACACACGGCCGACTGGCATTCTCCGTCGGCTCGTTAGTTTGTTCATGCAATGACCGACAACGAGCACCATCAGTCGTGTGAAGAGGATCATCCGCTACGTTATGGGGGACTCTCGACCACGGCCTCTACTACCCTAGGTGCCCCAGGGCGGCACACACTTCGTCGCATGCAACGACAAATGACCACGCCGCCAGGCGACATCGACACCAAAGAAGAGCACGAAGCGGGATCCTCTTCTTCCTCGGCAAGTGCCTCGTTAGTCGGGCAATGGTCAAGCAAAGAGTGTGATGGCCTCTGTCCACCATGCGAGGCCGAGTACATAGCGGCCTCCACCGCTTCGACTCAGCGCGCCTGCTCGCTTCGATCGCTTGGTGATCTCCTCGGCAGAGAGACTAGAGCGGTGGAGCTCTGGGGTGGACAACAAAGTCCGCCTGCCCCGCAAAGAACCCCATCTTCCATGAACGCAAAGAAGCACATCCGGGTGAGGTACCACTTCATCCGAGGCTGCTTTGGAGGAAGGGAGCATCAAGGCGAGCTACATCAACACCAAGGACCAGCCTTGCACACTGCTCACTTTAAGCCCCTTGGGAGGATCAAGTTCCTTGAACTCGCTCTCCGGGACCGGATGGTTCAACTTTCCCACAAGAGACGACACACAAGACTTAGGGGGAGAATGATGGGATAAGTCTCATGTGTTGGTCTTTGTGGGGCTGTGCTGGTCACATGGTCTTTGTGGCTGCATGGTCTGTTTTTAGGACAGCATCTTAGACTAGAGGATAGCATCTAGGACAGCATCTTAGACTAGCATCTAGAGGACAACATCTTAACATCTAGGACAACATCTTAGACTAGCATCTTAGACTAGCATATTGGCATATGCTTGACTGGCTAGCAGCCTATAAATATGTATCCCCAACCCCTCGGGTTGGCATGGCATTTGTGTGAGTTTGTGTGAGAAATAAACCAGAAAATTGCTCCAACTCCTAGTGTCATCCTCTCTCGATGAGAGTAAGAATTCTGCTACTACCGAGAATGAGAGTTCAACGACTAACACTTGTCATATTTGAAGGTACTCCATAATAGCAGTATGTTTAGCAACACAATTTTGCCATGAAATTGCTTATTGCAATTTACACCGCGGGAGTTGGGACTTAAATCAACTTAGATTAGCATCATCTAACACTAACTAATAATACAACATTATACTAGTAGCTTCCATAAACCTAACTCCAAGCTATGAACACTCTACTCTTGAAATGGGCTTTGAGAAATAGAAGGAAAAGGTATATACTGATAGAAAGCTTAACAATCAACGACAAATAGGATTAGTTAGTGTCAAACTGTCAATACCTTATCATGAGGCCAAAAAAGTGGAACCTCTGCCCATCAAAAAATTGATCCTTGTAATATCAGCTTCAACTGAGTGAGACACTAGTAATGAACAATACAAACAAATGAAATGCTAGGATGCTTTGAGACCTGGTCATGTCACAAATGATCAGATAAAACCTGCATTTGGTTAGACAGGTAAATCATGGGGCATTAAGATCAAGTTCTATTTGCAACATCATAAAAGGTGAAAACAAGGTCCATCAACTCACCATGTTACTTCATGAGGTGAGACACAAGACAAATTATTCATTAATCTATTGACTAAAAGGGAACAGAAGCAACAAATAGTTGTTGATTGTACTAGCATGAAACATGATGTATAACAATTTGGGGTAAATTCACAAAGAAATGAGACTGGAGATACCAATGAATCAGATTAGTTGATATGGAGAAAATGGTAGACCTTGTGCTTCCCAAGGAGATACAACACAGTATCTAACTATATGTAAATAAGAACATAATTTGTGGAAGATATCTTGTCAACATGTCACTCTGCCTCGCCTATGCTGTGAACTAGTAAAGGAGAGTTGTGATATATAGGCTTAGTGATCCAACGGAAAAAGAACAGCCACCCAATTTTGAAAATTATGTGATCCTTTCTTTATTATGCTCATAGCAAATATTTGAAAGTGAACAAAGAAATGAATGAGCTAGCACACCTCAATCAGGCACAGCAGCAGCGCGGCGTGAGTAGAGACGGCAATGGGTACATGGAACCTGATACCCGGTGGACTTTATTCTATTAAGACATGGGTCTGGGTCAATTTCCTAAGCCATGGGTCTGTTCTATGGGCAAAAGGCCTAACCCATCGGGTCTACCAGGTTGGGGTACGTTCCTATAGTACCCATACCTGTAAACCCATGGGTAATATAAACCCAGTCTATCCAGAAAACAGCCCATACCTTGTCCCATAATACCCTAAAACTGGTTTATTTTACCATCCCAGAAAGCTAATGTTGTGACCTGCTATCCCAGAAAGTTTATGTCGTGACCTGGTAAAGTGGTGGATGGGGAGAGTTGTGATAGGCTTGGTTATCCAATGGAAAAAAAGAAAACCAAACCTATTATGAAGTGGAACCCAATTTTAGTGTTTTGTCAATTTGTGTGATCCCTTCTTTATGTTCATAGCAAATATTTGAGCAAGTGAACAAAGAAATGAATGAACCAAAACACCTCACTAATACTATCCCTTTGTCATTTGACGTTAGGAAAGGCCGCTCTACCTACGTTTTAGTTAAATATAAAAAAATCATTAAAGCTGCAAATTTATCTTAGAAGCACAGATCATGGACATACAGACTCAATGAAAGCTGTGAATTGTTATGCCGTCATAAAGCACCTGAGTACAAGTAACATAACATCTGGTTTCAAGGGGTCAAGATATCAGAAGTATCCAACAGTGTTACAGCTCATTTCTCAAATGAAAAGCTAAAACAACATGAAACACGTGGAGATTGTTAGACGAGCTAACAGGCTTTTTCTGCCACACCAATATTAAATCATAACACATCCCTCCGTGAATAAACCACGACAGACGACTGAAGGTCTCTGTCAACCTTGAAATGGGAGTGGAAAAATCTCCTCACCTGCCAACCATAACAATTATTGATGAGTTTGAGTACTACCGTTAGGAAACAAGAAATCCTATCATTACTGCTGTGTGCTCCCTCTGAATCAAGCATATGTCATATTTTTTGTCATCTTCTTTCAAAATAGGGCAATCAAAAGCATTTTTCTGTTAAGGCATCCAAATATTTGCATTTGTAAACAATTTAAGATTCAAAATGATACATAAGAAAATGTCTTATGTTAATCAGGACTCCATAAAAAAACTGTAGAGTTGCGCTATGTGGTAAACAGTGTCCTAGAGGGCTAACATACTGCCAAATTCATGGAAATTCCTACACTAGTTATTAACAGATACTCCTTGGCAAATAATAACGCTGGAAAGCAGTAGCTAATGCATGTCTATTGAACCCTGAAGTGAAAAAGAAAACATGTGGTATCTAAGGTACAATGGTATATTACCTCAAAAAAGGAATTGTGCAGAAGCAACTGAAGAACATGTCTTTCTTCGGACTCAAATAATACAATGTGACTGAATGTTGATAAATTTCCAAAAACCTCGCCCACAAACTCAGATGGGCTTGTAAGGAAACGATCCGACTCATCCAGGGTCCCTTTGTTATCACTGAGTGCAGTAGAAAGAGTCAGCAGGGACGTATGTATTCAAGCACAAGTATAGATATGAAAGGTTAAATATTTTCACATTCCAAAGAACAAAGAAAATAACCACCTAGGAGTGCAGTCCAAAAAGCGCATAGGTAGATTGTAATGCAAGGTTGAGTAGTAAGGTGTTGAATGACAAGGCATGAGAAAGAGGACACTCTTCACTCTTCCATCATGGGCTTCTTTTGACAAATAATACATAACGTCTTCTGTTCCCCTCTGCCACAATGAGTGTTGAATATGGGATATAAATTGAAATAATGGAGAAGTAACAAAAGTAATTCATAGATGCATAGAGCAATACACAATATTGAAATAGGGAAAACTTACTTGATGGAATAAGGACATATATAAGGCCATGGGAACATTGGTTATGACGAGAAAAATAACAGAAAGTTGCAACCTTGAAAGGCTTCTTTTCCCATGCTGATTTTTGCCCTTGAATTCTGACATGGCAGCTAAGCAGTGACCTGAGAACATCAATGCTAAAGGTAGCACCGCAAGAACAAATCTGCAGTATTCAATCTATTTTTATCATATCATGTGAATAACGAGAAGAGGTTACTTGACTGCAAGGGCACTGTACACTTACAAGAGAAGGTGAATACCTGAATTCTTTGTGTCCAAGTATGCTGTAAACCCCTAATACCCAAGCAATTAGACCTGAAAGTCTCCATTCACGAGACTTTACAATACCACACATTGCAAATGGTAAGAATGTCCAAATCATGGATGGAAAACCCTGTGTAAAGTACCAGTGGAAGACATGTGTTCCATAGTAGTCTCCTCCCGAAGAGAAGAGGTTGAATTTCAAAAAATTAAGTGGCACTATGACCCAGGAACCATACATCCACCAATCAAGGAGTGTTGTTACTGCAAGGACAATGGCCCTGCAGAAAGATTAAACAAATAACTTATATAGAATAGTCATACATCGGGAAAGATGAAAGATAAAAAAATGGCATCACAGCAGAATCAACAGATAAGCAACATATGTCCTCCCAGGAAAGAAATAAACAAAGAATTGAGGGTGGGGGTGGGACTTGACATGGTCAACTTAACAAAATGTCAGCATTGTGCATATGTCCAGTGTGTGAATTCCAGAAACAATAAAGAGAAGCAAGTGTAGTGAAATTCACAGATCTCACGCAACGAAAGATAGAAAGTTGACATGAATTTTAACAATAACTTACCCTACTGGAATGACATCAAGAAGGACAAAACGAAATTTTGATTTCATCTGAATAAAATCCAAAAGACCAACATATAGCCATGTTACAGCACTTGTTGCCCGAATGGCACAGGACAAGGCTGCTATCAGAAGAGCCACTTTTCTTGATGAGACACTTTGTTCACAGGCAACATACTGCTTTGAAACAATTGAGGTTGCCTTGGAAGACTCTATTGCAGTAAACCAGTAATAGAGTCCAGCCACAGTCAAAACAGTCTCCAAGCTGTTTGATAGAGTCCGCGTGATACAGAAAAACATGAACCAGTTAACCAACTGGGAAAATAACTGCAAACAGTTTGTTAAGGCTGACATCCAAGGTCATTGAAGTCATATACTAATGAAGATAATCATATAGATATATAGATGAGTTTAAGGATACTGTCCACTGGGCAACCTGACCATTGAAAATAAGTTTGGAAAATTTATACAAGTAGAGATCTCCAAAAGCTGCAAACACAGATTGCAAGAGACGGGGAGCCATCACCTGCAGGAAAACAGAGAAGCAGCTAAGGAAATGCTCCTCCTCTGAAAGTGAAAAGGATGAAGCTGACTAGCTGAGTAGAGAGCTAAGGACCAATGTACTGAGTTATGATACACGTGGCTTTTGTTGGAGCAGAATGGCATGGTTCTCATGAAGCTTGATGTTCAAATTAAGCTGGCAACTTGGTAGCTTATACTTTATAATTAAGATTAAACTACGTTTTCATATGTTTATGAAGATAAGAGGCTGGTATCACAAGGCCAACACAATGGCTCAAACCGATTTCCAAGTCATTTGTCATAATAATTCTTGATCTGCTTAAGCTGACATAAACTGCTTAGGCTATTACCATAACCCATGGAGTGTCTAGGTGGAGCAGCGCCAGGATCTTGTAGAGAGCAGCAAAGATCAACGGGTGGAGGTAACTTCGCAGGCCCCACTTCCACTCCCATGTAAGGTGACCATACCTGCACCCAACCGCAAGAGAACAAAAATTTTAGCAATTGGGCATCAAATTTCCATGAAAAACAATGCTACGCAGCCCTCATTTCGCAGGGAAACCATCTCATTCCCTCGAGCTAAGCAGTGGTGAGCAGCAAGCCGATCCAATTCGGGGCGCACTGTAATTAAAACCAGCGAAACAAGCAGCGGCGGCAAGGCGAGGGCGAGGTTACCCGAAGGCGACGCGGTGGGCGACCTCGAGGCACTGCCAGTGCTCGTCGGGGTTGAAGTAGGTGCGCACGAGCAGCGCGTTGGCCGCGCGGAACGCCAGCGCGAGCGACAGCACCCTCCGGTCCCAACCCAGCACCGCCCATGGCCGGATCCGGCCCGACTTCTCCGGCGTAGGGGCCGGACCGGCGTCGCCATGCGGCGAGCCGGCAGCGCGAGATCGCCTCCGGTGGCTCATGATATATCGGGTAGTTCAGGAAATTCGGGTCACTATCCGAAATTATGATTGGATAGATCGGGTACGGATAGTTCGGGTATGGGTTTAGGTATTTCGGGTTCGGGTATTGGGTAGCGGATAATTTGCCTAGGGTTAGGCTCATCACCGGGACCGCCGGCCGGAGGGGAAACTGTGGAGAAGAAGGGGCCTGTTCGCATGGAGAAATTCTGGATGAATTTGGATGGTTTGGAGGAATGCTGGAAGAATTTGTGAGAGAAAAACACTGTTCCGGATGGAAAAAAAGCGGATCAAGCCGGGTTTAAGAGCACGCGAACGGGGCCAAGGAAAGGAAGGGGCTGCCGGACTGCGGGGTTAGTGGGCTAAAACTTTGGGCTTGAAAGACGGGCTCACATGGGTCCTTGATCCATTAAGAGTACTCCACCACGAATAGCAAAAGCAAGCTAAACCAATCCTCAGTTCTCACTCGAACGCTCCCTCCTTGCTTAGAAAAAAGTCGAACCATTCGTAGATGGATTTTCTTTCCTACCTTTGTCATTCCACTAACACCACACATATTTACGTCATAGAATAGTTCCAGATAAAATGTATGCTAGCACATATGTAGCTCCTCTACCTCCGATAAAGGAGACAATACTACTTACTTCCGCACTTTCGTCCAAAAAAAACTTATTTGCTCAAAAAAATCTAAAAAACCTTGTTCGCATGTGGTTCTTTTTTTAACAGACGATGAAAAGTGCTCCACACTTAGTGATTTGCCCCGAGTAAACAACTCCGTCCATTTCTCCTTATCAACAAACCTAAAGAAATAACTAGTAGCAAATCCAAAAGTACATTATTTTCTATCAGTCCAAAGTGAGAGATATGAGCCAAGCTAATATAGTACTTCTTCAAAATACTCAAAGGATCATTGTTAGTACTCCCTCCATTTCAATTATAAGATGCTTTGGTCTAAGAAAGGAGGAACAATGATGTTGGTCATAGAAATACCAAGGTTTCCAGGCAACTATGCAGCGGGGTTAACCCTATTCTTTTTTCCATTCCATATCATCGCCTATTGGTTTACTTAGATTACACTAAGTCCTCACTTTATAAATTTATTTATTTCTCAATCCTACCTAGACACCAACCCCTTCCAAAACCACTATTTGTCTCCCACCATACTTTATTCCCAAGTACCATTGCTTGCATCATTGCTCTCCGACGGATCTCATTGCCAGAATTAGAAGACACTATGTGTGCACCACACTCTCTTTAGATGACATGATGGCCGGAACATAAACTTCTCTGTGGTGAGTGAGACCCAATAATTAAACATGGTTGGTTATTTAATCCGTTTCATGTTTCCAACGAGAGCCACGTCAGGGAAATGCATAAACAATCCTTGCTAAGACGTCAACGAAGTGCAATCCATAGCGTCATAAAACACCTTGGTGAGAGCAATAGATGGTAAGAGAGGAAAAAGGGCCCCACCACCGCACACCATCCCTATCCCTCAACCTCACCACATTGCTTCTCACATTTCGATGATATATCACGAAATCCTTGCGCATCGGCGGCCAAGCTTGCTAATGCCGATCTCACAAAGCCCTAGCATCGCCCCCATCGACAAAATCTGACTGCAACACCACATTCCCCCGCTGCGCTCGCTCACTGGAGTTACGATTCTACCCATTCGCTCTCCCTTGCACCTTTTCATCGAGTGGAATTTTGATTCTAGTTTCCGAGGAATGTGGAATGCCTAGCGTTTATGGTATTGTGTCTACTCCACACTTGTGAAATAGTTGGCCAACTTTTCCGCCTATCATATTCACCTTTCCAAAACACCACTCTCACATGGTTCTTCTATGTTCATGGCGAGTGTCATTGCCAGAGCAACTAGTCTCCTTTGTTCGTTGCATATTCCTTTACGACATTATGTTTCCTATTGTCCACATTCTATCAAGTGAGAAGTGACACTTTTCTATTATCACCCCTCAGTGGAACATGAGTGTAACTTTACCGGTGTTTATTTATTGTATCATGATTGGTGACAAAAAGGTGGCTAGAGCATGAACTTCTTTATATGGTGAGTGAGAATAAATAAATAAGCATGGTGGGTAAGGAAATAATTATTTAATTTATTGTTACCATTTTTCAGATGTCATGTTTCGGAGTGTCAGAGACACATGACGAGAGAGTAGCATAGCTGTGTAACCCATAATACCAATACCACTATTATTTATTTATATATTCCATTGCTTCTATTATCAAGCATAGTAGTTTTGCTCGTTCAAAGGCTTATTGTATGCGTATATATATACCACTCGTGTTTGGTCTTCCTTTGTTTGTGTTATCATAGTACTACAGTTATTAACCATCGAGTGTAGTAGACATTTCCACGTGCAGTGTTTTTTTTTACAACACATGCAGTGGTATTGGTTATCGACACACACAACAAAAAGTACTATGATAATAAAGCAATAACAATACGTTTCCACATGCAGTAATAATAAGAAGACTTATTATATATTAGTTTTGTTATTGCGTAAGTACGTATCATAGTACTATTTTATTATTATTATTATTAATGATTCACCCAACAGGAGTTCACATGTCTCGGAGCGAGAGACGAAAGAGCAAAATACTCCTCATCAACGTCAATCATCAGCACTCGACAGCGAGCGAGAGCGACGGAGGGCCGCAGGGGGAAGGAGAGAGGAAACACAGGACTGGAGAAGGGGCCCCGCCACCGCCCACCGTCCACCGTCCCTCCGCCTCGCCTCGCCTCGCCGCGCCGCGTTCTTTCCTAGCGTCGGTTGCCCGAGCTCGCCGGCGCCCGATCGCGCCACGCGCCGAACCCTAGCGCCGCCGCCTCATTCCCCGCCGCGCGCTCCCTCGCCCAGCCACCGGAGGTACGATTCCACCCACCCGCCGGCTCCTCTTCTCTTCCTCCCCTGCGCCTTTCTCATCGTGCGGAGTTTAGACCCTAGTTTCGGAGGAATGTGGAGTGCCTATTCTCATCTGTCGTGCGGAATTTAGACCCTAGTTTCGCAGCAACGCGGAGTGCCTATGGTTTAGGGTATTGTTCATTCTGGCTACTCTCTTTGAAAAAAATGTTCATTCTGGTTACTGTGTGTACGGTGCGTTGGGAATGGACAGCTAATGCGGAGTGCCTGTCGTTTAGGGTATTGTTCATTCTGCTTACTGTAGAGTGCGTTGGGAATGGACAGCTAGAGGAGAATTTGGTGCCAAGTCAGCCTACCTTACTTGCACAATTCCCTTAAATGGTTCATACTACACTTTCAAAGCAGGCTCAGTTTGCAAAGCGCACGCCGAAGGCAAACAATGCTGCTTTGAAACGTGCTTGATACATATACAAGCAAAGACCTTGGCAGCGGATCAGCTTGTCGTGCGGCATTGGCCGAGCAACCTGATCTATGTGATCATGAGCCAGAGACGGTATTTCTTTTTCCTCGAATAAATACACAGGGTACCTGCGCATCATTGCATTATGAAGGAAGGCATGATATTAGCACCCCCCCCCACACACACACACACACACACACACACACACACACACACACACCCACACACACACACACACACACACACACAAGACACACAAACACACTTACGCACCAGGGAGTGTAAAAAGGGCGACCACAATGACAAATACCACAGAACCATCTTAGACAGCACCCATGTCCAGCTTGGTAGTCCCCTAGCATCCACTAGACACCACAAGTGACCCTCCAAAATTTGCCGATGCGAAGACACGCATGTGATCATCCATGGATAGATTAAGGTATTTTGTTTCCCATGTGTGTTTTTGGTCAAAATGTAAATCAAACAATGAAACATTCGGGCTTCCTCTTCGTCTTATATGATATATAGGAGCGCTCCTGCTATTTTCTCTATGGTGCATGCGTGCATGTGCCTTTCCTGCTGCCTTGTGATTGACAAAAAGTTTATTCCATGTTTTATACTATTGCTACAGATGCAAAATGGCCAACACTTCAGGAGGATCATCGATGGATGGAGCAGCTGGAGGCAACATGGCGAGTGGGAACGACGGCCAGGGCGTCATCAGTAGCTCTCACTCGGGGTCAGGCCACATGACCAAAGTGCCGAGCGCGAGGAGGAGGGCACATCCTTTCACGAGGTTGGGGAGTGAGGTGCCAGAGCCGTCCCAGAAGAAGCGGAAGGTGGTAAATGAGGAGGAGGCACCTTGTGGAGTTTCAAATGTGGGCAAGATCAGTGCTCCATCTTCTGCGGCGTCGAGAGATCCCAACGGAACTTCTAGCTCTGAGGACCATGCAGGAGGGCATACAAGTGAGTACGCCACGGTTGGGAATGTTAGGGGCTCACCAATTAAACGAAGGTGTATGCGGACAAGTTGCTACTTGGGACTATTTACGTCCCTAAAAGGGGAACACACAGGTACTTGATGCCCTCTCCTTATCCACTAGGTCACATGTTGCCATCATGATGCACAAATTGTTTTTGTTGTTTACCAGCAAAATCAAGGGGTTGTCTATTTCTTACAAACATTTGAAGTTTTATATGGGAATAAACTGATGGTGCACACGGAATTAGAAAATTTACATAATTAAATGCTGGAAGAAATAAGCATCTGGAATTCTTACCAAAAACTTTGTGTGTCGGACATGGATGCAACAAAAATTTATGTGCAAAACATCTACATTAGATTCAGCATGGAAGAGAAATGTGATAACCACTTTTGGCTATTTACGGCACGTTAGTTTCATGCAAATATGTTACCATATCTGATTTGTGTCTAATTTTGCAGATGAAGTTGTTAAATCCAAGCAATCAACTGTTCCCACAAAAACAAAGAAGGTATGCCTGAAAACAGAAAGTGCTGCTTAACCTGATTTACATTACTCCCCACTTGTTGTATTGGCTACTGAAACACACATTTTTTGTTCTTTACAGGTTAAGGAAAGCCAATTTCAGAAACTTCAGAGATTGCCAGATGGGTGCCATCCTGATTTTGATAA